ACAAAATGTGTGTGTATGTGATTTTTTTTTTATGATAGAGCAGTACAGACAAGCTGGGTTCACTTCATGGTAGGTAACCCCAGCCATATAAAACCCAAAACAAGATGAGCTGTCGATGAACTTTCATTTTATAATGAAAGTTCTCGTATTTGTAAAATCCGGCATCCCCTGTCCGACTAAGTCCATTCTAATTGAGTTCTATTGTTTTTCACCGAGATTCAAACCAAAGACCTTAAAGAAATGCACTTAACTATTGAGTCACGGAGGTTTGAAAACCATAAATGGGTAAATAATTAAATTTCTTACGCACGAGGCAGGAATTAAGTTATAGTTTATTAGGTTTCAATAATGATTATTGTGGGTATTTTCATAGAGACAAAATCAATTAAAACAAAATCATTATTAACAACGCTTAATTATTATTTGACGAGTTCGTTCGTCTAATGGTAACGATGTACGGCTAATAAATCAACGGGACCTGAGTTCGATCCCCGCCTGCGTCACGCTGCGAAGAAAAACTGGCAAAATCTTTTATCTTTGAGTGTTCTCGTTACGTGGCTTCAAGAATTATTCTTTAAATAATCCAATAAATACGGCCTCCATAGCCAAATGAATAAACGTATTGCCAAGCATTGCGTAGAGCGCGAGAGGTCCTGGGTTCGGATCCCAGGGAAACAAAAATAATGGTTCGATCGGGCAGGGCACAGAAGTCTAAATGACTACCGTTATAAGAAGTCAGTGTAACGGCCTCTGAAATGTATTCGCCCCATGCCCCACGAGGGGGAAACGGGCTTTCACTAATCCAAAAACTAACAAGTATATTTTGTCTATCTTTTGAGATGTACTCACACGAACCATTTTGATATAATATTGGACAGGTGCAACCTGATTTTTAAACATATTGTCGACCTCTCTTGTTTAAACAAAGGCTTGATTTGTAAAAAGTGTGTTGGTTTTATTTAAATTACACACCATATGTGCTTCCCCGGCGCGGGCGCATTCAACCGCATGAGACAATAAATCAAGGTGTACCTATATAATATAAAATAACCGAACATACACCTTTGAACAATGAAAATAATGACATAATATAACGGTCCATACGTTAATTGCGAGGTTAAGTCCCCGAATTTTCCTTGAGGAAAATGTTTCATCTGGGTATTCAAGCCTTGCCTATCTCGAAATATCAATTAGACATAATACTTACTAGTTTTCCCAATTATAAGAAATATAAATATTATGTAAGCTAATTAATATGTCATTGTTGGCTTCGGAAACCAAGTTTTAGATAAGAAATAAATAAACTTTAATGTAGACTCAGCGTCTCGGAAGCCAGATAGATGTAATAACTTAATCTAAGTTGATCTGTCTGTAGTTTACGTGAGTAGTACACATTGAAAAAAAATGTAACGGTTTAAAACGCGAAATATATATGTTAAAGCATCCGCAACGACGTTGCCGTTGAAATAATTTGTAAATGAATTCAACTAGTATATTTCGTGTTTAAGCCGTTGCTTTATTTAAATAACTTGGTCTATTTAATATTGTACTTGTTGTTGGAATTAAACCCTTTTGCCTACTGCCGTATTTGGAGAAGACAGATTGGCTGACACAGTACCGCGTTATGTATGAAAGCTGTACCGGCCATCAGAATTCATCAAATTTTTAACTTCACGATTAATATTATTATATTTTTCAATATATTACGATTAGGAAATTATTCTGTAATTCCATCTATATATCGGAAAATAGATTTTTTTAATGAAAAAAAAACATACATAATTATCGAAAACATTCTGAAGTGTTGTATAAATTAAAACATTGAATTCACACAGGTGGAGAGAGCTAGAGACTCAAATTTGAATATAAGAATAATTTTAATAAGATATTGTTGATCCAGGAATCGAACTTGTAACTTCCGTGACGTAACGGCCGCCTGCACAATACCACTGAGCCAAAACAACCGTAATTGACATATCTCGTGAGTTAACGCAGACCATAACAAAGGTTATATTTAGCATAAGTATTTATTTAATGACTAAGGGACTTCACTGTGTCTTTATTTAGAAATCTTTTGAGGTCAGCGCTTATCGGATTGTGAACCTGTATCTTCGGGAAATTACCTAAGATACACAAGACAACTGTGCGAAACGAGCGGGGACTTTTGAGAAAAGTAATTAAGTTTTTCCCGTACTATTGCTACTTTGTTTGATGTCTTAGAAGGCGATAATATGTATCTATACTAATATATGAAGCTGAAGTGATTTTTTTATTGCATGAACGCGATAATCTCAGGAACTACTAGTTCGAATTGAAATATTATTTTTGTGTTGGTTATAACATTTATCGAGGAAGGCTATAAAACTTCTCGCTCCAATTAATAGGAGCCAAGAAATAGAGGGAAAGGTAAAAAATGGGAAAAATTATTTATCGTTGTGGGTTTGAGATGCATACGCCGCAAAATCCGTTGCAGATGCCCAAAAAATTAGTTTTAAAGAATTATTTCTTTTTTAAATGATCTAAAGAAAAGCCCGCGATGTTGTATGTCTATCTTTTAAGATTTACTTGCAAGAACCCCCAGAGACGACTGACGTCACGGATAACAGCTTAAATTTATAAAGGTTTGCAAAAACAAATTTGGGTCCCCGACATAACTGTTCTACGCGGACAAAGTCGCTGACACAGCTAGTATAATATATTTAATGATGTATGGTTGCGTAGCAGACATTTAAAACCAGTTTAGGTATGCGGTAGGTTTGAAAATGAGACATATAAGAGGTCTCCTGCCAATGACGGAATCATTTTTCATCGTATCTTTTAAAGAGAACTTATCGTATATCATAAAATCTATAATTTGATTCCAAAATCATTACCTATAATTTAACAAACCCGCGGGGACTCGATCAAACGAATTCTCTTTAAAATTAAAGTAATTTATCATTTCATTCCAATTTCTGTAAACGATATGTATTTTTCATGAAAAATAAAAAAAAGGTTATAAACTGGAACACCTTATAAATTGTGTAAGGCTTTCACCTGCTAGGCCAGGCCATACCATTGCTAGCAATCGAGAAGCTAACAACGTCTCCTGATGATGCCGTCCGCTCGTGATGGCAACACGTCGAGAACCTCTTCTCAACAATGATATGTTGGAAAGCCTTAATTTCAAACTAATGGATACATTTTTCAAAATATATTAATGTATATCCAATCAACCGTATTGACCTTGTTTTGGTTTGAAAATGGGCATGGACATTAGACGCTAACAATAAAGTCTTCATGAAAAGCGATGAGTATAAATCTATAAAGTAACTCTGTCTGTTTGGCTTTAACTCCGAACTAAATTTCATTTAAATAGCAATAGCGAAGCTACTGAACTGATTTAAATGAAATTTGGTACACAGATATTTTAGAGCCTGAGAAAGGACGTAGGCTACTTTTTGCCAAAAACGGGTTAATAGGGATTGAAAGTTTGTATGGAAATTTGTGGTTTTTGAAGCTAAAACAATGAAACTTTCTTCTTTGGATTTTTGGGAATAGGAATGGGAGTGAGTGTAGGAATGAGAGTGGGAGTTAGAAATTTGAGGTGAGAGTGTTGCGGCAAAGTAACAGTAACAACATAGATTGGCTGCCCTAAATGCGCCCATACATAAATTAATAAACAGCCTAAATAATTAAAAATTCTACCCCAAGTCACTATTCCACGCGGACGAAGTCGCGGGCACAGCTAGTATATAAAAAAACATCTCTATATTTTTGATTTATGAACAAAATACGACGAAATTTGTGCTTATTGGCCTAAATTTTTTATCAGCGACAGCAAAATACTCTCAAACATTGCTTAGATACAAAAAATAAATCGAGAATAATATTCTCTTTATGAATTAGAAAATTGACGGATCAAAAAATACGTTCTTAAGTGTTTCTTGGAAATATTTAAACGGTAAACAGATACTATTAATTTTTTAATCTATTGATCGAAACGGTCTAATGGTAGCAATGGGAAACAGGACGTGAGTTCCATAACAAATGACTGCAGCACGTTATAAAATATGTTGGATTCCGTCTGTATAATCCGAATTTATACTGGTAGATATCAAAATTCCTTCCGGGTCACAAAGCACGGGCTACAGTTGGAAAACCTGCGGTAAATCTGCGTTTCATTTCAGTTAGAATATTCAAAGCCGAAATACTTCGACAGTGCATCTTGTTTAGATGGCTGTGGTATTTCTCTTGGTATCATCAGAACTTCATGCTTGTCTGTTTTGATCAATCATAAATATACTTTATTTCTGTGGATATTATGCATAGGTTCCCTTAACGCGTTGCATTGCTAAAGAATACTACAAAATAACTCATTCGTAGTATTTTCCCTACGTACAGTCAGTATGGCACCAAATGTACTGGTTTGAAAAATATTTTTTTAACATGTTACTGCACATCATGGCACTATATGAATTACAAATCGATAATAAATTGAAAAAAAAATACGACTCGGCCAGAACTTGAACCGGCATCTTTAGCGTTCCGCGCTCGTTGACTCGATAGCTCAGTTGGTTAGACCGTTAGATCTGCAGCACGGAACCCTGACTATGCCGGTTCAAGTTATTATCGATTTTTAATACATGGCTTATGTCTCAAAACAAGATAACAGTAGCTACTACTATTATAGATAACATACATTAAAGTACTAAAGGGAATTAGAAAAAACACTTTCATACAGATATCACTCAGAAGAGACGATCATACGTCAAACGTATTTAATATAAGATCCAAGACGACTCTGGAAAGCATCAGTGCGCTGAATTGTCGCGGGTGCGCGGGCGTCACGTGATCTAGACGTTATTATACGCACAAAAAATCTTTTGGTTTAAAATTTTAATTATAAATTGTAACTTTGATGTTAGTTGTGACACTTTCTACAAAATAACAGTGTTGTACATTATAAGATATAGTGAGCTATTGGTTGTTAAAAAAATCTAAGTGTTTTTATGCGTAAAATGGTGAAAAAAATGTATGATGTAAACGCAAATACCAATAAGAAATATGGCAGCAAGCACAACCAAGTATTAATGTCTATAGTCGGTAAGCAACTTTAAACTTTATTAATTTTAAATTTCCGTACGGACCTTAACATCTTTTTAGGGGTCCGTACGCCAGAGGCTTAGACCCCTGATTTTACCAAGCAAAGATTGAACCCCGTTACCCAAACAGTAGAAATTTCCTTAATCATTATTTATGACTCCGTAATTATAAACAAGTGTAAAGATATTAATGGTATAAGGTAGGCAGTGATATATTAACATAGTAAACAGTTGTATTTTTTAGTTAAATAAATATAGGGGACTTAATTCTACTATACTAAATTTTGCCCATTTTTTGCCACCCTCTGTACTAATATTATAAAATTCAAGAGTTTGTTTATTTTAACGAGTTAATGTCAAAAACAAATCAATTTTTTTTTTTTTTTTGGAGCAATTATCGATGAAGGCTTTAAAACATCAGGCTGCGACCAATGGGACTGTAAGAACAATGAGAAAAACGTAGAAAATCATTCAACTTTGAGGGTGTCCGATGCGTAAATAATCTAAAAAAGCGTCTACGACAGTATAATATATTTTAAGATTAGCTCGCAAGAACCGTTTTAATGGTAATCAAATTTTGGTTGAAATACTTCATGTAAAATAGTGTATACAGCTTACCTGTTAACATTTGACAGATTAAAAAAATATTAAATCATATATGTTCTTCTTTAAGTAATAAGAAAACGTTACGAAATTTAAATTTTGTAGTAACTATAGCTGTTTACACCTCGGCGTTTTTTATCTTACTTTGAGTTTCTCTGATTAAAGAAAGCGTGCTAACTAAATAAAAAGTTTATTTTAAATACTATAGTTTACGTGAGTCTCCCCGTGACCATGGCTGTTGCAAAACATCCAAAACGTCGAGCTATAGTTAAAATAATTTTCAAATAATCTTAACTAATATATATGGCGTTTTAAAACGGTAAAGTGTTTTATTTAAATAATTTGCATGATACTTGCTGTTTTTAATAAAAACTTGTCTCTCCAACCTGAATTAGAAACATATTTATCTAAATTTTTTTCCTTTTTTTCTGTCGCGAGGGGTAGAGGTTGGGGGGATGTTGCGGGAAAAACATTGTAAGATGTCGTCTAGGAATAACCGTGATGTTTCCTTGTTTATTTATATTCTGTTACAGTCCACTTTTGTATCCAATTTTATGCGAATGGATTTGACTTCAACTCCATTCATAAAGTACTTAAGTATAAAGTCGAACGTACTCTAAGCGATTGTTTGTTTGCCAATTTGTTATATAAGTGCCAAAAACAGCAAAGATGTATTATTTGCATATAGATCATACTGCGTAGGCGGTCAAGTGCTCCCAATGCACAGTACCTACACAGTAGCATCCAGAGTTCTAATCCTGATTGTTATAAATGGGCTTTTGTATTGGGAGCTTTAAAGTTATACAAATATGTACCCAGGACCCATATTAGATATATGTTATTTTATTTTAAGCGCAAGAATACTTGTAGGTATGTTTATAGTATTGGGTTTTTGCCAACGTACACATTATGTGCAAGTTTCATAGAATATTTTATTATTTAATTCGTGGCAATAAATTATAATATTCTTATTAATACAGTGTCGCCAATTTAAAATAATTATCTTGCATATTAGTAATATAGGTTTTAAGGTTTATACAGTAATTTAAGAGTTAGGGTAACATTTTTACAATTTCAATATATTATTTTTTTATTCTCAGTCCCCGCCTTAAAAATGCCAAAACGAATGATAAATATAAATATAGCTACTATTTCAATTTTATATAATAATTAAGCTTCAAATAATATAAATAATATTACCTATCTAAAAATCATGGTTTGGGTCAACACCTTTTAGTGACTGATTATATGTTAATGAGTTTCTTTGGGATTTAAACCAAGAACCTCAATGTATATAATCATAGCCTTATTTTACTTTAAATATAAATCTAATTGAATGGAACTAGAAACCAATTGTTAACGTGTATATACAATGTTAAACAGTCGCTTACGTTTTTAATGTATTTTTAAACGGTTTAAAACGCGATATATATCAGTTTACCTTATTTTAACTACGACCCGACGTTTCGGATGCTTTGCAGCAGCCGTGGTCACGGGAAGACTAAAATTGGAGGGTGTCTCTAACGTCAAAGTAAAAACTGGTACGCTAGCGCCATCTGTTTCCGTATCGAAGTTGGTATTTGGCGCGCTTAAAGTGTTTAACCGTTAAAGTGTTCCATTTAAATGTGTACTACTCGCGTAAACTACAGACAGTATTTAACATTTCGTTTTTAAAATGATTTCAGTATGCATGCCAATACTCGCTTACGGTACAGCAATGGGCTGGATATCCCCAAACAAAGAGCTTCTCATGAGCGAGGCCTCACCATCTCATCGGCCGTTGACTGAAGAGGAAGTATCCTGGATGGCTTCCATCATGTTCATTTTCGCGCCAATAGCGGTTTTCGTCTATGGTGTGGCGGCAGATAGATTTGGAAGAAAGAATGCTTTGCTGTGTGCTTCATTCCCAATATCTGTAAGTAAAAAATCATTTATTCTATTAATTAACAGATTAAAAAGAGATCAAAAGAGCCAGAATTTTCACAGAATTAAAAGAAAATAATTCTACGGCTTAAGATTAAAATGTCATAAATCTTCGACATTTTTAATTGGAAACGTCAATTTTTTGTATCTGGAAGTTAATTTATTAACAAACGAATTTATTTAAATAAAACGCTTAAACGGTTTAAAACGTGATATATATTAGTTCAATATATTTGGCAAATATTTTAACTACGGCCCGACGTTTTGGACGATTTGCGGCAGCCGTGGTCACGCGGAGACAAGCATCCAAAACGTCGGGCCATAGGTAAAATAATTTCCAAATATATTTAACTAATATATATCACGTTTTATTCCGTTAAAGTGTTTTATTTAAATGTTTACTACTCGCGTAAACTACAGACAGGATTTTAACGATTTATTGCTTAGTGAACTGGGGACAGTAAATCGCCATGTTTCAATTGGTTTATAATAGCTACCTTCACGAACAAAAAAGTATTTTATTATATCTACACTTATAAACATACATTTACTAGGTACCAGTTCCCAAATCAAAGGCGTAGAACGAACGAGAAGAACTGGCAAGAAACTCGCCGCCACTCCTTTCATCGTCAAGTTTTTGTTACAAATTCCTTACGCACTTAAAGTGTACACCGATTTCCTTGTTAGAGCGAGTTCCCCCAAACCCCCAACCATTGTTATCATTTAAATATTGATTTACGTTGTACCAAGTACACTTCCAAAGTAGTTTTTTTTAACTCACGATTTAAAGTTTGAAAACTTTAATATTTTTCACATGTTATTGCACATGAGACCGCCTCTGTAGCCAAATGGTTAAACGTATTGTCTAGCATTGCATTAAGCGCGAGAGGTCCTGGGTCCGAATCCCAGAGAAACAAAAAATTGTTTCAGTCAGGCAGGGCACAGAAGTCTGATCAACTACTTGCCCGTTAAAAAAACGGATCAGTGAAACGGATACAGAAGGTGTTCGCCCCATGCCCCACGAGGGGAAAACGGGCTTTTAAAAAAAAATGCACATGATGGCGCTATATAAATTAAAAGTTTAAAAAGTTACGACTCAGGAAGGACCTGAGCCAGCATTGTCAGTGTTCCGTGTTGTTACTTTAGCCAATTGAGCCGCCGAGACCTACACGCCATCGTCATATTGATACATGTCAGGGAAACAAAAGAAACTCATCAAAGATGAAATTACAAAGATCCTTGTGAAAAATAATAAAGTTTCCAAACGTTATAACTTTGTAATTTCATCTTCAATGATTTCTTAAGCTGCAAAACATAAGACGTTGAACCTAAATGCGCAAGTGTTAAGGTTGAAATTACATGGCGCGAGAGGTGCATGTATAAATAATTTGAAAAAAATCGACGAGGTGTACGACTCGGTAGCTCAATTCGTAGAGCAACAGCACAGAACGCTGACTATGCCGATTCGATTCCTGCCCGAGTCGAAAGTGAATTAAAAAATATTTTCGATTTTAATAAAACACTTTAACGGTTTAAAACGGGTCTCCGGGAGACCACGGCTGCTGCAAAGCATCCGAAACGTCGGGCCGAAGTTAAAAATCATTTCCAAATAAGTTTAACTAATATATCGCCTTTTAAACCGTTAAAGTGTTTTATTTAAATGTGTACTACTCGCGTAAACTATAGACAGTATTTAATATTTTCGATTTTTAAATTTAGAGCTTTTCCTTACATGCATTATAAACACATTAGGCTAGAAATGCTTAACTTATAATTTAGATTGACTAGTTAAGGAAAGAGGATAAAACAGTTGAATTAGCAATCGACATAACGACTTCACTTAAAAGCACGTTAACGGTTTTAGGTTTGTTTGTAATTAAAAACAAAACGAACTATGATTACTGTTATTATATTGTGTATAATCTATACTCACATAAGGTAAAGAGTTTGTTTAAGCAATAAAACATCACACTTCGACCAATTGGAGAGGAGAGACAGTGGTAATGTGGAAAAATGGGAAAATAATTTATCTCTCAGGGTTACAGTGCGTCGCGTTGCGTCGCGGGCGTTACGTCGCGGGCGTTGCGTCGCGGGCGTTGCGTCGCGGGCGTTGCGTCGCGTGAGTTGCGTGCGCTAAGAAAACAGTTCACAAAACCAAAATAATATGTATGAAATAGTTTAAAATATCCGCGACATTATATTACTACTTAAAATAAACTCGCAAGAACCGTTTTTATGTTAATCAAATTAGGTTGAAAAGAATGCATTAATACCAATTATTTGTTTGAATGGATTTAATGTTAATCGGATCAGCCAATTAATATTTTGTTAAGCATTGGATGTGTGTTTATTATCTCAAAAAATAATTATAATATGACCATAATTATGTTTATAAAGCTATTACTAGCTGTGTCAGCGACTTCGTCCGCGTAGAATAGCAATTTTGCAATTTCAACGCAACAAAATTTAATCTGTTACCCACGACATCGGTCACGTGTCGTCGTTCTTGAAGTAAATCTTAAAAATAGGATCTTTAGATCATTTAAAGAGAATAATTCTTTGAATATTTTATGGGTATTTGAACCTGAAATTTCCTTCGGTCCTAAAACAACAAGAAACAAATATTTTAGCTTTTAGCAACAAAGCGACGTTAGCCGGAGCAGTAAATATATAATAATATTTTGTTAAGAATTGTTGGCTATATTATCTGAAAAATTATATCAAAATTGTGTTCATAAAGGTAATTAATTATTTAAAAGATATAAAATTAATCAATTTCGTGAAGAACAAACTACATGGTCATAGTACTTAGTAATGGAAAACACTTAATATGTTTAATTTTATAAATAATATATATTAGGCCTATTCTTTAGAGTGGAAAGAACGCTTATAAGTTTAAAACTAAATATACTTGGTATTAAAATATTTACAATACATATACGTGTTTTAAACCGGTGATCGTGTTTTATTTAAATATTACTCTCGTAAACTAAAGACATTACTTGGCACACTGTGTAAGGAGGAAAGATCGAGTAATTCGTTGTTGCCCTATACATAGTATGAAATATTCGGAAAATTGTATGTAAATAAGAAAAACAAAAATAGATTTCAATCCAGTCTAATTGGAGGTTATATGGCTGGAGAATATTCCTCAAGTCCACTTTATGCTGGTCTGTCCTCTTCTCTCTAATGAAAGTATACAGGTGGCGATGTTTGTTTCATAACTTTTACAAACTCACACAATGAAAAATATAGTATAATATTTTACAAATACATTGTACTGTGTTAAGTACGAGAGGCCTTAGGATCAAAACCAGGGATACCATAAATACTCAATGACTTGCCTATACATCGATCTGCTACAAATTAAAACACTAGTTATTACCCACGACGTCATCATCGTCCCGTCGTACTTATGAGTTAATCTTTAGAAATAGATATATATTGTCCGGGATATTTTTTAGATCAATATAGACGAATTTTTATTTTTTCCCTCTGTATTTCTATTAAATACAATTGACAGCCTGGAAAAATTTTGACTTTTTTCTTTAAAACCATTAACTTAAAAAAACGTTTCTGCATAGTAAACAAAAATTCTAGTAAGCAATAATTTTTAGTGTCTAGTTATTTAAGTAAAATGCTTTAACGGTTTGAATTGCGAAATATATAAGTCAAACTTTGTAGCAGCCGTGGTCACGTGGTATTCCCGCAAAGCATTCAAATAGGTTTACCTAACGTTTTAAACCGTTAAAGTGTTTTATTTTAATGTGTACTACTCGCGTAAGCTACAGACAGTATTATAGTCATATTAAAAATATCGTTTAACTTACAGATAGGATGGGCCGTAAAACTGATATGTGCACATCCTATAGCCTTAATTGGGGCCCGGGCCCTTATTGGATTCGGTTCCGGCGGGGCCTTCGTCGTCTGCCCGCTCTACGTCAAGGAAATCAGCGAAGACAGCATCAGGGGAATGACTGGGACATTTATTATATTCTCTCAGGCAAGTGGATTATTTTGATAATAAGTTGATCCAAAACCGATCCAAAAAAAAAAATCAAATCATAACACATTGTACAGTAATACATTTTGTAAGGCTTTCACGGCCATCGTCCAACGTATCATTGCTTTCGGGCTGTTCGGCCGGAAGAGGTTCTCTTCTCGCTTACGTCGGCCGAGCAGCCCGAAAAACATTAATTCTTTGGACAGTGGTAAAAACTAAATAAAAAAAAATATATACATGGAAATTTTAATATTTTTCACATGTCATTAACATTCACAAAAATCGATTACAAATAGAAAACTTGCGACACGGGCAGGACTTGAACCGGCTAAACAAATGAGCTACCGTGTCAAATCAGAGAAACAGCACGTATCACTGTGACTGCCGGTTTTAGTTTATATACATTAAGATAATTTAAAAAGCAACAAATAATAACCACATTAAATCGATCAGTAACAGGGACACAGAAGTCGTCGTAAAATTAGATTGTATATTGTGATTTTATAATAGTTAAATACTATCTGTGTTTACGCGAGTAGTAATCACTTAAATAAAACGGTTTAAAACGCGTTGTTTATTAGTTTAACTTATAAATGACATATTTGTTATAAGTTTAACTAATACACATCAGGTTTTAAACCGTCAAAGTGTTACATTTCAATTAATAATAATAGTTTTCATATAACTCAATAATAATACTCAGTATAAAAGAAAAAATAATTTAATGAGAAAATGCCTTAAATGTTTTCTTTTACAAATATCGTTTTTCAGCTTCCACTCAAAAATTGTTTTTAATTGAAAAAGTACAAACAATTAACAGATTGACAATAGCTTAATAGAGCGAGAATTCTAAGATTTAAAAAGAAAATAATTATCAAATGTTATACAGCTTAACAGATTAAAATTTCATAAAGAATAAAGATTTAAAAACGATTATAGATTAAAACCGCCTCTGTAGACAAATGGTTAAGCGTATTGCCTAGCATTGCGTTAGTGAGAGGTTCTTGGTTCGAATCCTAGGGAAACAAAAAAAATGTTTCGGTCGGGCAGGGCACAGAAGTCTAATTAACTACTTGCTCGTTAAGAAAACAGAGCACTGAAACGGACACAGAAATGTGTTCGCCCCATGTCCCCACGGGAGGGGAAACGGGCTTTCACTTTTTTTTAAAGAATAAAAAGTTATTGTTTTCAATTTAAAGCAACAATTCCTTGTTACTATACCTAAGTTATTGAATTAATATCACAATTTAGTGAATACTAATCACGTTCAATTTGCTTAAAAGATTTTGACGGGGCTATTTCGTGTAAGGGTAAAACTGCAGATGCTAACAATCACGTTCGACAGCTGTGGGTGAGATCAACACCGGATCCAACCAGGTCTGAAAATCTGTTTAGTAAATGGGTGGTAGGAATATCAAAATTCCGTCCAGGTCAGAACCTTGACCGTGTCATTCTGTGGACAGCCACAGATGAAAAAGCCTGTCAGAGTTTAATTGCATTTCAGTCTGTGGACTTCCAAAGCCAAAATAGTTTACATGACGAAATTATATATCTTTCATCTAGTGAACCCTATGTTTATATTTAAAAAAAATACCTCAACGAAGACTGGCTGAATCCAAAAATTCGCGCGATGCAAACGAAGACTAATCTAGCAATTGAGAGAAATACAGCAATACATTGAACAAGCCACGTATAACGGCGACCGGGGACGCGATGGGAACGGCGAACCAAAACAATAATGATTCAGTACGTCCACATTATGGGCTATGTTGACCGGGGTTTCGTTTGTTGTTTTCTCATTTTCCCCTAACAACTATTTAAATGTTTACAACCTTTATTATTTTTATAAAGAAACATCATGTGTACCATAATATGGCACCAGCGATAAATAAAGTACTCGAGATCTTTTCCTTTGATAAATTCTACTACTTCGGAAAAATGGGCGATTTTTCTATGTAATATATTTGAGTAATAGACCGCAAGATCTGAGCTGAATACATCTGGTAGGTGAACAACCTGTCCAAAAACGATATAATAAGCGTTATTTGTACGCAAAATATTCATATTTCTCACTCAGAACAGAAATGTAAGAGTATATTTCAAGTGTCGTCCAAAAGCTGCGGCATTCGAGTTTCGTTTCGTGGTATTAATTAATTCGTTTGCGCCACTCGTGTCTGTTAGTTTATTCAATTCAATTGGGAAAACTGTGATGGTTTTATAAAATAATCAATCCATCTAGTATTAATTGTATATTTTGTTTTTCTCTTTACAGAAACAGTTTGTGTTTCAAACAAATAATAACAAAAAACATGATTTCTATAAGGAGGATAATAATGCGCAATTAACTTAGGTTAGATTTAAAAATCGAAAATAAATTGAGAAAATTTTCGACTCGGGCAGGACTTGAACCGACATCGTCAGCGTTCCGTGCCTACCTCTGTTCAATTTATTTTCGACTTTTAAATTTTATAGTGCCTTCATGTGCAATAACATGTGAAAAAATATTAAAAGTTTTCAAACAATTGTGTCGGTCACTGTGCTCTTGAAGATTAACATTTTCAGAGTATGAAAATATATCATGTAAGCAGTCAGGCTACAATAAGTATTGATTTAAAAATAAGCATTACCCTTATATACACAACTATCTTGTGTGCAAGAAGTACCCTCACTAGATCGCTCAGAAGAGATAAAAATACTCATTTAACAGAAAAAAACTTTCATTGGATCAAACGGTCGGGTCAATTTTTGTTTGCTCTGATACCTAATCAATTATGTTTACAGACAGCTGGAAACCTGCTCGTTTTTATCCTGGGGGACTTGCTGCCGTTTACCGCAGTTTTATGGATTTTACTGGCGATACCACTTATCCACTTCTGCATTTTGCTGAGGTTGCCAGAAACACCGTCATTCCTGGTCAAATGTGGACGAAACGAGGTCAGATTTAGAATTAGAACTTTAATATCTTTAACATGTTATGCGGTTGCGCCTGATGGTATTTTGTAAATTGAAATTGGCGGGACATGAACCGACAAAGCATTAGCTCAATTGGTTAGAGCAGCGGAGCGCTGCGAATGCAGATTCAAGTCCCGCCCGTATCGTCAACTTTTTTCAATCTTTCTAGTCAAAACTCACGGCATTTTAACTTAATTCTTCTCAAAGGCTACAAATCATATTATAGCGTGTTTATAATGAAAACATATATTCCGTTCCAACAAACCTAGGAAATAATTACTTTGAATAATATTTGTATACCAACATATAAAAGGGGCGAGATTTAATATGGTAATTTTTCTGGAGGACTAAAGTGTTTTCAGCCGGATCGCTTTTAAAACGGCTTTTAATCCTGAATGTAAACCAAATAAAAAGTTTGTATTTTTAGGGTTATATGAATGAGTACAAATTGCCAGCATTTTACTCACAAATAAGTTTTTATACGTGTCTTTTTATATAGGTACTAGCTGTGTTAGCGACAATTCGATTCGAACCAGTAATTACAGAGATTAGCGTGATCAAACACATTTATCTCTTCAGTTTTATATATTGGTATACATTTATGTTTGTTTGCAGGAGACGGCTAAAGTATTAAGCTGGCTGCGATCAGTTCCACAGACTGACAGTTCGATTATTGAAGAAGTGGACAGGCTGATCATTGAACAAACCACGTCGGAGCCAAAATTCTCACCTAAACTATTATGTAAGTACTCCTTTGTAGGCAATCAAAACAGTTTGACTGTATAAAATCGCTAGAGAAGGATAGAAAGATACTGTCTGTAGCTTCGCTAGTAGTACACATTTAAATAAAACACCGTAACGATTTAAAACGTGATATTTCAACATTATTTTTAACTTCGGCCCGACGTTTCGGAAGCATTGTGGTTGCGGACTCCCCATCACTACCGCTGCTGCAAATCATCCAAAACGTCGGGCCATAGTTAAAATAAATTTCAAATAATTTTAACTAATATATATCGCGTTTTAAACCGTTAAAGTGTTTTATTTAAACGGATAGAAATAACTTTCACTTAAATTAAATTATATAAAGTTACGCAATAAACTAAATTTCTTGTGAGTTAAAGGTGAAAAATTATATAAATATCTAAAAAGTAAAGTAAGTGAATATGATAAACACATCAATAATTAATATCAAATTTATAACTGACCAGAGTTTTAATAAGATTGGTTGAGACGAACTTAGTTATTTTAATTATTAGTATATAATTAAAATAACTAAGCGAAACAATCTTGTGTGTTATGTATGCTTTGTGCGTGAAACTTTTTATTACTTTTTGAAAATTACAAATCTTTGTAGCAAAAGTTTCCGAATAATCAAAGCCAAAATATAGCGCATCTTTTTAAGACTTCATATGGCCAGCCATATAACGCTGTACCTTCCATCAAGTGAATACTTGTAAAAAAATAATACTGGACTCTGCGCTGGTCCCCCCGTGACCATGGCTGATCTAAAGCAGAACTAAAATAAGGATTCACAGAAAAATAAATCAAAAATAAGTTAAATCCTATATTTCGCATCTTAACAGGACGTCTTAATTTAAATTAGCCTGTTTTGAATACTGTATGTAGTTTACGCGAGTAGCACACATTTAGATAAAACACTTTAACGGTTTAAAACGAGATGCATATAAGTCAAACTTAATTGAAAGTTATTTTACCTACCGAAGTTTCGGATGCTTGTATCCGAGTGCTCACGGTTGCTGCAAAGCATGCGAAACGTCGTTAAAGTGTTTTATTTAAATGAACCTCTTTTGTCTGACCTGTTTGCAATAAAGACAAAATTAAAAGTTGTGCAATTAAAATATAAGCTCCCGAATAAAAAACATTAGCCTAAAACAAAAGTAGGTACAGAAAATTCTAGGACAACGGAACGCGGCCTTAAGACTATCGTCCTATTCATTTCTGAGTGATTGATTCTGACTTAGACCAATCACTCAGAAATGAATACTCCAATAAACAAAGTCAATCTCTTTAAACACTCTAAAACAATTCGAAGGTAACGCTCCAATTCCGTAAACAAATAAAATTGTTTTTTATTGTGCCAAAACGACCTCTGACACCGAATTGTCCTTGATATTTGAGCTCATCATTTTCAATTTAGCATCGTATTAATTCAGTTGCTCGCTATTTGCTTGGTGTCAAATGTCGAGTTTACAATTGTGTAGTTGAACTCGGGGAACACGTAGCTTGCGATATTTTGAAGTTCTTTTATTAACAAAACAATTTTCCACCTAACGCCTTACCAGGCAGAAGCAGCAGCTAATTAAAGGAATAGTTTTGTACTTAATACAATCAGTTTCTTGTTTGCAATGTTATTTCTTATTTATATTACATTATTGTGTTCGCTTATGTACATTTTGAAGGTTCTGGTTGGTTTAGCGCCGCCGTGTAAGATTGTTGCTTTTATTATATTCATTTGTAAATATAGAGATTGAGATCGTATCACTTATATATATTTATAACACAATAATTATCAACAATGTAAAAAGCAATTCAGTTAGTAATATAGCAAGACAAGTATTTACTTTTATATTTTTTTCTTACTAGGAATATTTCAAATTTTATTAAAAATAAATTATTTATTATTAGGTGTTCGATTCCCATCGAGACAGAGTCGTTTCTTTTACTATTTTTACACAAGCTATGTCAGCGACTTCGTCAGCGTAGAATTGTTATTTTGGCATTTAAGTTTGTTTTTGCAAAGCACCTCAACATGTTCTATAAAATTAAGCTGTTACCCGTGACGAAGGTCGCGTCCCGTCGTTCTTGTAAGGTAATCTTAAGATAGGCATATAGTGTCGAGGACATTTTTAAAAATCATTTAAAGAGGAATCATTCTTTTATACAAATTTCTCGGGTATCTTGAACCGTTTTCGTAGCGGACGCATCGTTACCCACAAGAATGAACAATATCCTCAGATTTTCCACATTTTCCTCTATTTCTTCTTTCCCATTTGTCACAGCGGTGAAAACAACAAAACTATTTTTTCAATTCGAACCAGAACTTCCTGAGATTAGCGCGTTCAAACAAACACTTCAGCTTTATATATTAGGATACATTACAACATATCTTTATATCAGGCACTTAGATTCATACAAAACTAATTAATTTCATATACATTTTACAGTTAGCGATAAAACAACACTCAAAGCGTTTTGGGTTGCTCTAATCGTGAATCTGACCCGGGAATTCTGCGGCTGCATAGCTGTGCTGGTCTACGCAAGCCACATTTTCGCTGAAGCGGGAAAGGATCCGGGTTCCAGTATTGTATTATCGCCGAACAAACAGTCCATAGTGTTAGCTGCTGTACAAATAGTTGGGTCCTTTCTGGCATGTCAGCTTGTTGATCGGGCAGGACGAAAGGTATTGTTGTGTTGTGGTATTTGACCAAAAATTGATTAACATAAAAACAGTTCGGCTTCAATATGTTCAGTCAATCTTAAAAGATAGACATATTAGATAGAAAAGTATCTGAAACGTTGGGCTATATTTAAAATAAATTTACTAATATCTTTCGCGTTTTCAACCGTTATTTGTTTTATTTTAATAATCCCTTCGTTATATAGGAATATAATGCGTAAATCAAAATTTCTTCTAGAAGAAAGGACTTGGACATAAATGTATTAAATACTGTCTATAGTTTACGCGAGTAGTACACATTTAAATAAAACACTTTAACGGTTTAAAACGCGATATATTAGTTAAACTTATTTGAAAATGATTTTTAACTTCGGCCCGACGTTTCGGATGTTTTGCAGCAGCCGTGGTCATGGGATCTCCCCGTGACCACGGGGAGACCCCGTGGTCCCCTGTCAAAGTGTTTTATTTAAACATGAATGTCTTTTTAATACGAATATAAATCTATTATGTATTAAAACAAATTAATATGTATTCATTTGTTTATTCAATCTCTATTTCCTCCTCTTTCAGCCGCTGCTAGGCGTTACGAGCGTAGTGGCCGGGTTTAGTATGTGCCTCCTTGGGGTGTGGTTCTACCTCCAAAGCATTGGTGTATCTCTACCGGGCTGGATTCCCATAGTGGCGCTTTGTGTCTGTATATTTGCTGATGCTTCTGGATTGCAACCGCTGCCATTTGTCATTATGACTGAAATGTTCAATTTCCAGGTAAGAAATATTTTTTTTTATATTAGAGCAGGGCAGACAAGAAGCGCTATCTATTTTAGCTTAGGATATTTGTAAATTCACAGACAGAAACCGAATCGCGCCTAAACTTCACAGTTTTTTTATCTATAGACGGTGGCGCGCAGCCCACACTGACTTTCAATATTTCTTAAACATTTTTAATAACCAGATTATTCCCGTGCCATCGTACTTGCAAGTTTATCTTAAAAGATAGACCATAAAATCACGGACATTTTTTTAGATTATTTAAAGAAAAATAATTCTTCATACATACATAATCTATATTAGGTATTATGAACCCTGAAATTTCCCCCGTTTCTTCCACACTGTTCCTTCGGTCCTATTAATCGCAGCCTGATGTTTACAGTTACTATAATCTTTCTCAATAACTGCTCTACCACAAAAGAATGTTACAATTCGAACTAGTAGTTCTTAAGATTAGCGAGTTCAACCTCTTCAGCTTTATAACATTAGTATAGATTGTGCTTACTACGACGTTACGTACGTTTAAAATCGTTGCAGAGCTCGATTCGTAACATGTGGTACTAGCATAGACTGAAAAGTATTTCAAATGCTCCGAATGTGAACATCTCGGGCAGCATTTGGTCAACACACTTCAACAAGCCTTTAAAGCTCGTAACGTTACAATCAGATCTGTATACGTTTAAGCTTTGGAATACAAAATATTTGAAGCAAGTTATATCTATACTAATATAAAAAGCTAACAAAGGACAGTCTGTTTGAACGCGCTAATCTCGGCAACTACTGGTTCGAATTATAAAAATCATTTTGTGTTGGTTAGAACATATATATCCAGGAAGGTTATAAACATCGCGTTGCGACTAATAGATATATGGAAAAAACGGGGAAAATTTTTCATCCTTTTTTTGGGTTGTCGTTGAGTACGCTGCGAACACGGTTCAAGGTACTAACTATTCTACGCGAGGTCGCTGGCAGAGCTAGTAAATAAAACATGAACGTAGGGAATAGAAAGGGTCTCCGTGACATTATGAATCTACCCCATTTTACCCTCCGCTTCCTTTTGGACGTGTTTAGTTGTTAATGGTCAGCCGGTTCTTACGAAATATCCACTTGAAGCATAAATTACCTATAAGTTACACGGTCAATCATTTCCATCAATTGTCATTTTATTCAAACCTATTTAAAATCAAGTAGTAGTTTAATGTCACAGGACAGACAAACCCGGTGTATATAAAATCCCAACTAGATGTGCTGTCGACCCATTTTGGATATTTGTATTGATCTTCCACCATAGCGGCACCGGTGCAATTTGGTCCAGATTTTATATTCGAGCTTTTTATGACACCCGTAAACATAGGCGTGATAATTTCTGCCTATAATTAAGTCCCATTATTGTCTTACTAAGACTAGATAAATTAAAAATCGATGTTGTTTTCTCTAACCAATTGAGCTACCGGATCCTAGACGTCAACGTCGAATTTCAACCTATATGTACAATAAGTCCTCTGAAAACTTTATTATTTTTTTACATGTTATTGCACATGAATGCACTATAATATATGTAATTTAAAAATCAAAAATAAATTGAAAAAAAAATCGACTCGGGCAGGACTTGAACCGGCATCGTCAGCGTTCCGTGACGCTCTGACGCTGAACTGACTTGAACGCTGACGATGCCGGTTCATGTCCTGCCCGAGTCGAAAATTATTTTAATTTATTGTCGATTTTTAAATTATTATAAATCGCCTGTTAGTATAAAAGTCAGTCAATTAAAAAAGTAAAATATTATTAAAATTGGACATTTCAGAAAAGTTAAAGTATTAGTATTCTTTTACTTCTGTTTATATATTACTGTTTCATTTATTTAAGAACCGAGGAATGTGTTTAACATTTAAGTTTGAGTACTATTGTTTTCCCAATAAGTGAATATTTATAATCTTAGTGAAAGTAAATTATTTCAACGAAAGTTACTCTACATTTTTAAATATGATAAGATAAATTGTTTTTGCTCCAGCAAGCCAGAGTGGCCTAATAACAAAAATACGAGTTTCAATAAGGAGATATAAGTGCGCAATTAACTTAGGCGAAAATGAATTTGTGTAAGAATTATTCTAACACTTTTCGGAGACTGTGTTCTTGTAGATTAACATTTATAGACTATAAAAAAGTCAAATCATAAAATTGCAGTTAGGCTACTCTGCCACTAGCGGCGTCAATTAATTGATTGATTTTGTCCACAGCTCCGAGGAACTGTAGCGACCCTGATAATGGCGATTTCATTGGCAACCGACTTCGCTTTACTGAAACTATTCGCGCCACTCAACACGTGGATAGGCTATCATTCCACATTTTGGATGTTCAGCATAATTTGCCTCTCAAACGTCTTTTACATAACATTCTGCGTCCCCGAGACGAAAATGAGGAGTTTGGAGGACATCTACGCGGATTTGGAGGGAAGGGGAGGAAAAGGAAAGAAGCAAGAAAATGTTGTCGAGACCAATCATGTGTAGGTCGACATTGGCAGTGGCAGTATTCAAAATGTGATAATTAGGAAATAAAATCTGTAGTTAACGGCCTTCTAAGCGAGGTTACAAGAGGAGATATGTACATAGTACCTTTCGCTCGTATAATTAAGTTTGACGTCCATGAAGTGTTCGACTAATTTACGAAAACAGTCACATAAAAAAATCGATGTGAATTGTCTTTCCATCATCCTATTATACGTAGTTCTGGCAAAGGCAAAGGCGTTTTTTATATATGGTGCCATGATTACAAGATTCTTTTAACGTACAAAGCCCTTTCAATTTGTTTTCGAAGATTTGAGCTACCGAGTCGTAAACCTCATCATCGATTTTTTTCAACTTATTGATACATGCACCACTCGCGCAATTGGTAGAGCAACAGCACGGAACGCTGACGATGCCGGTTCAAGTCCTGCCCGAGTAGAAATCGTTTCCTTTTTATTTTCGATTTTTAATTATATAGTTCCATCATGTGCAATAACATAGTTTTCAACAACAGTACAAGTACAATTTCTATCTCCTCTTTCATAGCTTCAAACGTTTGTTAGGTACAAACGTTTCGTTACGATTAAGAGGAATCGTAAATAGCTTTTATAGTTACACAACACAATATTTTAGCAAAAAAAACTTTTTTACTTTATTGCCTCATATTCACCAATGTGATTCTATCCTAAATAACATTAATAATATTGTTACAAACTACCTCCTCCTTATTGACCATATGGAAAAGGTAGTGTGTAACTTTTGATCTTATCTTCAAGTCTTCAATTTTTTTGACACATAATTACCAAACTGATGTTCTAAAATATAAATCTGGAAAACACTGCAACTCTTTTTTCGACGCTGACTGATTAAAGTTCTTTAGACATGGTTTCTTGGACATGTGTCAGAAATCAGGAATGTACAACTCAAGTGTAGAAAATTTAATGTTATAAGAGCCATAATATCTACTTTACATACTCAATTATTTAATGTAACAATATTCCTAAATGTAAATATAGATATAAGGATAAAAATAAAAGACCAAATTCAGTTAAAGTAGATTTACTTAAGAATAAATAACTGTACTAGTATACAAATGCTTTTTTTTTTAATTTTCCTTTTTTTAAACTTGATAACATCAGCGTCAGTCACATGAAAACAATAATAATTAGGAATAAACGAAAATAAATTACAAATTAGTTACATTAAAAAAAGAAATATGAATTCACAATTAATTTAACTGACTTCATGATAGATTTTTAGGATACCCATTTCTTAGTCAAATATAATGATTAATTTTACTTGAGGACACACGACTTAAATAAGGACTAGTGAAGTTTTAAACCTAAAAAAACAAAAAGTTTGCGTCAAAACACTGGAATAGTTATACAGCGTTATTCATGATAAAACCTATTTTCGCAACTGTTAACTTTTTCGATAGCTCCCTGTGTATTCTGTATTCGAACGGTGACACGGATCTTAACGGTGATAGTACCACCAGCGACGGCCACAAAACACCACCACCAGCATGTTTCCCGGTGTTAATATATATTGTGTATAAACTAGCAGCACACCTACAAACTTAACATATAAAAAGTCTAGTAGCGGCATCTAGTGGCTGGGCTGGTGACCTGTGTATGGTTACTTTAAGAACACTTTCATATATAGGGGTATTTTTCGAGCGAATATAGGCAACTCGCATCGTATGCATTGTTTCGAGCTAGTTGGTGTCAGTACACGGTGCAGTTGCCGCTAGCAACAGCATCGTGAACATATATGAAAAGATGTCGCTGCAAATACACCTTTACCTTAAAGCGATCTAAGATATATTGATCTCCGCTGAAGACTTTTTGAGATCTCAAGTCATCGTATATGTTGCAAGATCCGTGTCCCCACAAATATATTAACCGCTGCCATAATTACTTACATAAGAACAGCATTCGTTGAATAATTGTCAGATAATAGTTATAAAAATGGAGTCATCGTTTTTCTTCAACACGTTATCATTCTATAATAAAAAGTACTCCCACACCAAAATCGTATTTACAATCACTATTCACATTTTGAGCCTTGCTAGACCTCTTAATTATTTTTTATGTGTGTCATACCTATATTTAATGTGAATGATAAACAAGGACCATATCAAACCTGTTTTTAAAATTATATATATACATCTGATTTAACACTTTCTAATTATTGCCAAGTTCCGAATTTACTGCACAATTTATAAAGAACAGAAAAGAAACAAATGAATGGTTCGGCAAACAGATACATTTAATTATAAAATAATTTGTAATGGGGCTTTACAAAAACGCCAATAAAATGTTTGTATATAGTTTTGGAACAATAAATAATGGTGCAATTATAAGTTTAACTATAATTGGAGGCTTGAGATATGAGATCTGATCTGGGACACAGTGTATTTGAGAAGAGAGTCCTTATACTATTGCAAAGTTTTTATTTTTATTTAATCATCAAAATAAATTTCCAAAACTACTACTAGTAACTCATTTCATGTTTCACTAGAATGTACAGTATACAATTTGACCAAACTGATTTCATATATTCATTCAAGTGATTTTACACTAACAAATTAAAATTTTAAAGTAAGTCAAAATTGAAAAATTACTTATCAATAATATTGATGTAGAGTCAGTCTGAGTCATAATTTATGAGTAAAAAAAAAACGATCAGGTCTAAAACTAGATTCAATAATTTAGATAATTCAATTTCTTCGTTCACAAAAGGAATTCGGATGTTCTAAGATTTTTGGCTACATATAACACTTATAAAGATGTTGGAGGTTATCGTTTATGATAAAGGTGGCTTAGTTAACGTCGACCCATTTAGGCTTTAGACATTCGGATTTTCACTATTAATTTCTACATTATTTAAATTATCAAAATTGTCATCCAAGTGTATATAAACAAGCACCAATGTATTGCTTTATCTCAATTGTATATAAACTTTCTTAAACCAGTTTATTTTAACTTTTTTGCTCCCTAATGAATTTAAAAAATCTAGCACTGTTTACTATATTTAAAAAAAATACTAAGGACACGGATCCGTAAGTCTATATATCTAAATACAAAGAGATATTAAACAAGGTGTTATTACAAATACAGACTATTAAATATGGAAAATATACAGACTATTTAATATGGAATATCAAACTGTTATAGACATTAGTCTCCGCCAAAAAGGGAAAAGCAACTTTTTAAACAATATTCTTAATTTTGAACCATGGTAGTGAATTGTAAAACACATAAACTTTACTTCTTTCAGCGCCAGATCTCAGATCCGTGTCTACATGTAATACTTTTTAAAGACAAGTCCAACAAATCTCTTAAAACATCCAAATCCAACCCCCCCTATCTCCTACTATAGTAATCGTAGCACTCACAATATCGTCCTTGTCAGGCCCCTTCCCTACTATCCTTTCGTTCGTTCTCCTCACTGTTCTGGGCGGGGACTTCCTTCGAGGGGACATCTATGGGCGCGGGCGGTTCCTTTTGCGCGGGCGGATCTTTTTTATCCTCCTGCTTTGAATCCGTCGATATCGAGCTTGAGGTTAAACTGTTCGGTTGTGACGACTCTTTGCTCTGCGGTTCTTGACTTTTCTCTTTATCTTTCGAATCTGGTAAAATAACAAACAAACATTTTAACGTTGTACCTATATATAAATAAATACATACATAGTAGTCAACTACCTAATTTAAAAAAAGATCTACTAAAACTTTTGAATGACCAAACTAATTTCCTTAACTAAAAAACAAATGAAATCTATATATTTTTTTTTAATAATCAATGACGTCATAGGTATTGAAACATTATAGCACTTCTTCATAACAAAACTAAAAATACACAACAAAATCCTTATTATTTCTTATCTACGCAGGATAAATTGAAACATACTAACACAATAAACATTGAACTAAAACATATGACTTCTTTGTAAATAATTACACTCTCTGCTCTGAGTGTGTTTAGAATCGTGAATTGATCCAAGCTTGGCACAACTTCGCCCACAGTAGATCTATGGAAAAGGAAAAAGGATATAGGGCATAGGAAAAGCGGTTTTAGGCTTTATTATTTTTTTTTATCTACAACTTACCGGCACCGTGCGTTGCCGGCCATGGTTTTCTCACGAACATATTTTCAACTATGCGGTCTATATTGTCCTTTTCCGTCGAGTTTGGTGCTCTGAAAATATAAAAGTTTTTTAAATTCCCAAACTTTTTTTGAAAACATTTGTTATAACTATTTTCAGATCATTTAACATGCATCTCCGTGTCGTAAATGTTAAAATCTGCTACGCTAGGGCAGCAAAGCAAAGGCTGCTACAGTTGCTGCAAAACGTCTGAAACGTACCCCACGTTTCGTAGTAGTTAAAGTAAGTCAACTAATATATTTCGCGTTTTAAACCATTAAAATTGTTGTATTTAAATGTCTGTAGCTTACGCGAGCACACATTTAAATAACGGTTTACAACGCGAAATGTATTAGTTAACTTATTTACAATTTATGTTAACTATGGCCCGACGTGCCGGATGCAACAGCCGCAAGCAATCACAGGAGAGGGGGGGGACCATTAACTACGGCCCGTCGTTTCGGATGCTTTTCGCCAGCCGTGGTCACGGGAGGCGCATATTTAAAATGTGTTCTAGTCGCTTAAACTACAGACAATAATGCAGTCCTATACAGTTTATTACTCTGTACCTCTCGGGCACAGCCGGTCGTACAATGGGAATTGCAGCGGTTGGGCGTCTCTGGGTTCGCGGCGGTTGCTCTTGTTCACTACAACTGTAGTACGTCACTCCACCAGCTTGAGCTCCCTAAGGGAACGAGGAAAATAAGTATTTTATAATTGTATAAGACATATGTATGGAATATATGAGACTGCTAGAGCCAGAGTGGCCTAATAACAAGGAACATGATTTTCAATAAGGACGGAAATAAAGTTGCGCAATTAACTTTTTTGCGAAAAAATTTTTGTACTATTATTTGTGTAAGAATTATTAACCATTTTCGGTCACTGTGCTCTAAATAAAATATAAATAAGTCAAGGCATACAATTGCAGTTAGGCTACTCTGCCTCTAGCGGCCTCATATATGATGTTGTGATTAATTGAGAGCAGATACGGTTTTTGGAACGTGTATCTGTTTTTGCCATAACCCTAGTTAAAGGAGATGACAAGGGTAAACCGGCATAAATACAATTCGTCAATTGCCAAAAACGGTTTAGGCCTAAACCAATGTCCAGCAGTGGGATCAATCTAGATAAAAAAAATACGACAATGCCATTATGTGCAATAATAGTATGTGAAAAGTATTAAAGTTCTTTAAAACTCACATAGTTATGATGCGGGTACATTTGATGTGGAGGATATTGTGGAGGTTGGTACATTGCGCCACCGTAAACCGCTCCGCTTCCGCTTTGCTGAAAGATATAATTGCTGACTAAATCTATAATATTATAAGTGCAAAAGTTTGTTTGTATCTCATTCCACTGTGCCTTGACACTTAGGTGATGACATAAAACACTTTCACGGTTTAAAACGCGATATATTAGTTAAACTTATTTGAAAATGATTTTTTATCTACCCGGTCCGACGTTTCACTATGATGGCCGTAGCGTAACAATTTTTACTTTGACGTCAGAGACATCCTCCATCTTTAGTCTCCCCGTGACCACGGCTGCTGCAAAGCATCCGAAACGTCGGGACGAAGTTAAAAATCATTTTCAAATAAGTTTAACCAATATATCGCGTTTTAAACCGTTAAAGTGTTTTATTTAAATGTGTACTACTCGCGTAAACTATAGACAGTATTTATTTAGTTGACAGTATCATATAGTATGTGAAATAAAAATAACAAAAAAAGAGCTTCAAGTAATTTGCCTTTTTTTACTCTCTTGACGCTCTTGACCATTTTTAATAACTAGGCAACAGGCTCGTCCATCTTGTGGTAGTTATATATAACCAAAATGGAACCATGTTGGACGTCTGGAAATATGGATTTTAAATGTATAGTAGTAGTAGATGAAAAAGCCGTAAAGTTTAATCTCCTTTCGGTTAGTCTTCCGATTTTCGAATAGCCAAAGTCGAAAAAAGATCAACAGCAAGTGAATTCCATATTTGTTTGTCCTCCTCTATTCTGACAAGATGATGTTGTGCTTCAAATTTAGTGATAGAAGTGACTTTCTTGACTACATCAGTAATACATACTTGCATGTACTGTGCGGGCATCATGGCGGGCGGAGCGTAACCCTGCGGTGCTTGAATTTGGCCTGTAACATCGTAGATATTGTCAATTAAAAATTACGTTGATTCTATTATTATTATTAATAATATTATATATTGCTATTATTATTATTGCACGTTCGAGATATATGCTTTGGAGTCGTACAAACGTGTTCCCAAGGCTCCCTCGAAAGACCCGTAGTGGGCTGGTGACGGCTTTCGACATTCTAGCCGAATATAGTCTCCAAGGAGGTTGTAGTACGATTTACCACACTCCCCCCGCGTTTTAAACCGTCAGACCATTATTATTTAGTCATAACAATCAAGAATAATGAATATAATGACAATAATGAAATAAAACACTTAGAACGGTTTGAAACCTTATTTTAGATTTATTTTACCTAAGACCCGACGTTTCTGATTATACCAAATATTTTATCATTTTAAACGGTTCAGTGTTTTATTTACATCATTATTGACCTATGTGGCCGTGCATTAGACATTCCTTAGTTTAAAAAGGTTTGAGGTATAAAAAATAAATTGTTTACGTCGTTCGGGCATAGAAGTCTATAACTCTAATAGAGACGAGTGTAAAACATGTGTAATAACAAGATTCACCTATATTGTGTGTTTGCGGCATATTGTGCATGGAGTGATGCGCGTGCGGCACTATCTGCTGCTGCTCCATCATTCCCAAGCGTACTTGCTGCAATTATTAATATCATTAATTAACTTAATAGTAGTATCAAAGGTCCCTTTTGATCGAGGAAGGAGACCCCGTCGTTCTTAGCTGGTAAAACGGTATAGACAAGGATAAAAATAACTTTACTAGTAACAAAAAGTTACTACTAAAGTCAATTAGTTAATATATGAAAATAATGAAGGTCTCGGATTGGTGTAAATCTGACATAAAGGAAGTAAGATTGTAATACTAGGTTTCCCAGGTGTTCGGTCGTCTTAGTTAAGAAATCGTCTCGACGTTTGGCTAACCATACTTTTGACCACATTCTTTTCTATCCTACTCAATTATGTAAAGGCGACATTTTGTTGTATATTGAATTCGAGAACCATTTAGCAATAACGACGACCGAACTTCTCGATTTGCAAAATGTGAGAACAAGCGAGAGGATATGTGTGAAAGGGACGGAGAGAGAAAGCTCTCGGATCAAAGATGCTGAATTAAGACGCAAAGAAAAGGGCGTATTATTTTAAGAGAAGAATTAAGGAATCATTTATATTTTATTTTGTTAAAACCCTATATAAAAAGTAATACTTTTTTATAACAATACTAGCAACCCGCCTCGGCTTCGCTCGGGTGCCTCAGTTTTGCACCCGAGCGAAGCCGAGGCGAAGCGACTAAATACACTACAGAAAAACTATGAACGTTGTATATAAAAAATAACCCGCATCAAATTCCATTGCGTAGTTTTAAAGATTTAAGTGCAAGCGCAGTCATAGGGCAGAAAAAGCCAAGGACAAGTAGTATCTTGTAGTCGATATCGGGCTTTATCATTTTTCTTAATTTTTGTAGTATTCCTCTAAATGAGAAGGTTCCTAATAACATACACAAAAAATATTTGGACATCATTTTTTGTTAGTACAGAGAATACTTGGAGTAAGTTACCTGTTGCGTGTGCTGTTGCTGCTGTGGCGGTGGTACAGGCTGATGGGGCGGCGAAGGGCCATGGGCTTGCTGGTTCACTGCTGCTGCATTGCGCATCTGAGCCTGATGACAATATTATACCACACATATTGACATTGAATATGAAAAAAAAATTCTTTTACATATGAAAAGGTTGATGTGATCGAACTTTACTCATATAAAATCCGTTAAGCTTAGATTAAGATTCATTATTAACTAATTCTTACCTGATGTATGATTTGTTGCGGATGTATTTGCGGTACGGGACTTCCTTGGTGTTGAGCGTTGGTTTGATTTTGATTCCCACCTGACACAAACTCTGTAACGGATAGTCAAAAAAGTCATAAAGAAAATTTTTGTTTTGTATTAAAAATAATCCAAAACTGTTTTAAGTTGTTTTGTGTGTATAAAATATTTACCACCAGGATGCCTATATTGCGGGTTCTGTTGTTGTTGCGGTTGTTGCGCCTGTTGCGTTTGCTGCGCCTGTTGCGCTTGCTGCTGTTGTTGTGCCTGCTGCGGCGTATATGGTTCGGCGAGTGGCCGTTGTCTTAAACTACTGTATCTCTTGCTGCCGCCACGACTTTCACCACCTGCATTTTTAGATTATATTGAAATTTGGATTGTCCAGCAGTTCGGCTGTCGTTATTGAGAATTTGACTCGACGTTTAGCCATTACGAATGGATGGCGTTATAATCAGATGTTGCAGATTCCTAGACTAAGCGAAAATTGTCAGTTAATAAAAAAAATCTACAAAAAAGAGCAACAGCAACGCTGCCGATTCAAGTTCGGTAGAATAAGAGCGAAACGTGGTCGCGGGTTCGAATCTCACCCGACATCAAAATTTCCTACTACCAGTTTATCTATTACCGCGTTACACATAGGTAAAATCTTTAATTTTTAAACAATTGCGTTTATAATTTGAACAAGATAAATTGTAGTGTATCAAAATCAACCAAGCCGCAGGTACAGAAACTAACAATCGTACCGACAAACATCGTATTTAAAAATCAAGTACCTGCTGTCGGTTGTTGGTTCTGTGTTTGTTGATTCAGAGCCGGTTTCTGTTGTTGATTTGCTGGCTGCTGTTGTTGTCTCGGAGTCGCGTTAGCGTGCGGGCTCTGTTGAACAACATCCATGCATTATGTATTAAGTGTGAAATGTATACATTAAACTTGACTGAAAACATGACTGACTCTCATTCTTGTCAATCCACCTCTATGATAAAAATACCTTACCTGCGGCTGTGTAACGGGCTTTCTCTTGGCCAAGTCAGTGGGTACTGGTCTCTGCTGCGCCACGGTGTTCACCTTGCGCACCGATTGGTTGTTTTGACTAACAACAAAAAAAAATAAATAGTGAAAAATCTATTTATGTTAATTATTAACAATATCAAAAATAACCTAAATAAAATAGCGTCATTTGTTACTTTAATAAAGACAATGACAGCCTGTAAGGAATTTAAATTAACAATCCACTTGTGTTAAACAATAAAACTATATTTGTGTTATCAAATTATATAATAAGGGCGTAAGGTCCAGTGTTTAGTTCTTAGACAAAGAAAAGTTAAGTGCTTAAAACGCGAACTTTAACTTATTTACAACTTTATTTTATCTATAGTCCGTGCTTTACAGCATCCGTGGTTACCGGAGGGACCGAAGATGGAGTGTGTCCCTAATTTCAAAGCAAAAACTGCTACGCTAACGCCATCTGTTCCGATCTAGTTGGTATTTGGCGAAACTGGCTGTGAACTGAGCTTGTTTTAAACCGTTAAAAGCATTTTATTACAGCGTTTACTACTCACGTAAATTACTTACAGTACATATGACTTACTTATTGTTAACCACCGAGGTAGTAATAGTGAGGTTTTCCAACGGTGGCATTTTCTCCTTAGCTGGTGGTTTGGCTTTTGCTGCGACCGGTCTGGTGGGTTTAACCTTCGCCTTTATAGATGCGTTTCTTCGTAGTTGCGACCCGCTTTCTGAAGACTCGTTGGAGGCCGGTTGAGACTTCGAACGCGGTCTTGGAGCGCGAGACTTCCTTCTGCAAATTAAAAGAAACTTTTACAATAGATATTATACTTGTGGCAATTCTAACTGGCTCGGTGTAATGGTAGCGTGACCCAAGACCCATTGATTACTAGCCATAAGTAAGCAACGGGTCGTGGCTCCGATCAAAGCAGGGTCCAACATAATTCCAATATTTTTTTCTTACTGAACATGTTGGGATTCATCTGGTCTTTATAATCTGGATATTAAAAGGGTGGCTGAATTTTCAAAAATAAGTCAGGAGTGCATATTGAATTTATTTGTTTGGGATTCTGCACTTCCATCAAGTGAATCAAGTTTGCTTGTTATTCCTTACACCTACCCACTCAATAAGTCTTTTTCTTTTCTCCTGTACTTCAGGTTGCCTGGAAGAGATCGCTGCTTAGCGATAAGGCCGCCTTTTATTTATAAGTTAGTACGTAAGATGTTTTCTCTTTTTGTATGTGTAGTTTGGGTTATAAATAATAAAGTTATAGTAAATAATAAAATAATAAAAATAAACGCCATACTTATCTATTCTATAGACGACTAACATATAAATATATCTATGCCTAGAAAGGTATTGAAGATACTTAACGGCGTAGGAATTGGTTTTCGAATTACGAAAAAAAAAAATTATATCTTCTGACATTAGAATTGATGTTATTTTCGCCATCTACTAGTTTCAAAAACATTATAGGTATGTAAAATTAAACCACTTTTACACTATATGATTTGTATGTAAAATTAACTTTTTTAAGTTTGTTCCTTTTGTAACAGTTTTATTACAACAAATACACTACACGGGTATAATAAATATGATAAGTGTTGTATCATCCCATTATATGTTTCCCAAAAGGTCATATACACTGCAGTTTTTTCATTGAGATATATTAATTACTTACCCAGGTTTGTTAGCTGCGGTCAATTCTGGAAAGTCAGAAGGACTGGGAGGTTTCTTATGAGCTGCTTGAATAGCTTGTCGCTTATATGCCTCTTCATCTTCCCAAGTTCGGGTGTATTTGTTTGGTCCACGTCTGGAATATTATATAATATATTTTTCAATAGTTCTTAGCAGTTTCTTAGTAACAGCATATGCTTAGGCTCTCGCATAGCATGCATGGTTTCACATATTTATTACTATAGCTATTACCAAAAACTTTTAAGCCAAAATAATTTGTTCCAATGTTATACAGTTAAATAAAACAATTGACAAATCATTGCAAACAAAAAAGAAATAGATGCATGCATAGAACATTAACATAATCAAATATTTTAAAGCATGCATGCTAGATTCTTCTGTGACTAACCGCCATCGTCTGTATTTTATGCGGAGCATGTAAATACATATTTATCATTAGTATCGTTTAATGGCAGTAAGAATCCTATTAGATTCCAACACGACTTAATAAAAATCATACTATCTACTTGGATTTTTTACTGAGTCGTGTTATGAGCACCTTACGGAGACATCTGGAATTCGATTCTCGGTCATGTACCAAAGCATTAAAATACATTCCGATATACGCTTTCTTGAGAATGAAAACTTCGTGAGGGAAGAACACAGACAACCAAAAATTCGACTACATGTGTAAACCACCAAAACACATTTGGCACAGGTGATAAAATAGTCTCCCGTTTCCCCTCGTGGAGCATGGGCGAACACATTTATGTCCGTTTTAAAGTAGGTATATATTCATGTATACTATTTTTGAAGGACAAAAGCTTAATTATTATTGCATTATTCGTTTACGTGTTTATTTGAATTATTATTTACATACAAATTATTGAACTCGACTGGACCACAATATTATATACACGTATTAAACGTACCCGTAACGTCTGTTGCGTCTCGCGTGCGGCGGTGCGTCCTCGTTGCGTATATCGTAGCCGTATATCGATACCAATTCGTCACGTGACTTTGGCATCTGCAGAAGACATTACTTTGGATATAATGGGTTTTATTTGTAACTTTTACATGTAAAAATAAGTATAGGGACAAATAATAAAATAGAACAGTAATAATGTGTGTAAAAACCCGTTTCCCTTGTCGTGCATGGGGCGAACACATTTCTGTGTCCGTTTCCCTGGTCCGTTCTTTAACAGGCAAGTAGTTGATCAGTTTTCTGTGCCCTGCCTTACCGAAACATTTTTTTTGTTTCCCTGAGATTCGAACCCAGGATCTCTCGTGCTTAAAGCAATGCTAGGCAAGATGTTTAACCATTTGGCTAGAGGCGGTCAACAGTAATAATAAGAATTCGAAAATCAGAGAAATAGATAATATGCAGTTACATTTTTGTTGCACAATAAAAAAACATTTTAAAATTTCCTTGGGCTTTGAAAATGTGAAGCATCACTTTAAATGTTTATTTATTATACGAAACATCCCTTAGCCAAGGACATCTAGTTTTCGAGTAGGATTCAATTACGCCGCTTCCAAAAACCTCATATCTTAATTACAGCAATTAAAATATTGTGCTTAAACTATTTGTACCTGTTCGTTCTCATTGTATTTGTCGTGCGACCATTTATTCAGTGTTTCAGACTTGCGAGGCGCGCGACGTCGATCTGCTGGTGTCTCGGGGCCCTCTTTTTTCTCTGTCGTAGTCTCGGGAGCTGCAGTGCTTGATTCCTCACCACTACAATGAACAAGTAAAAAGGATAAAGACTTATCTCAATATCTTATAACATCAATCTATACGAAAAAATCATTTAATTGAATGTGTAAATGCAAAGGATATATTTTGTATGTCATGATTAGAATAACGTTAAATATTGTTATGATTGTTAATTATATAATAGCAATGTTTTTAAATTTTTGTAATGTAAATAATACTATATTGGTGGAAAAAATATATTTTCACATGATGGCATTATATAAATTGAAATTCTATTTAGATTGAAACAATTTGATAACACACTACATCGCTGTGGATGCGGGTTCAATTCCCGCCCGTCTCGTATTTTTTTCAATCTGAATACATATTTAATTTAAAACTGCATTTAGCATTCAAAATGTACTATTATATATGTCCTTATTGCAAGATAATATTCAAGATTATTTAGGCTGAATAAAAAATATTAAACAGGATCAGGCCGAGTAATCAGTCTACACCATCAGCTGACCATTTAAATGATTTCCCCATAAATTCAAGATGGTTAAATTAAAATTGATTATGTCCTGGTAATAACAAAACAAATGAAATACATTACAACATATAAAACACAAAAACATTGATACGTCCAATGAAGTGAAACAATGGAAAGAGTAACTTTCTACATAACAATATTAAATTACATTCGTTTACACCTGAATGAACAGTCTGGTCAATGTTGTACAAAAAAACCAACAATTTGCCCCCGACGTTAATCCAGTGAATTATTTAGATTGCCCAACTTTCAGGTTGAATAAGATTTATATGAGGCCGCTAGAGACAGGGTAGCCTAACTGCAATTTTATTACTTGAGTTATATTTTCATAGTCTAAAAATGTTAATCTATTAGACACACAATGACCGAAAAATTGTTAACATAATTAATACAGAAATAATGGACCAAATTAATTTTGGCCTATTTTAATTGTGCCATTTTATTTTCCTTCTTATTGAAAATCATGTTTTTTTTATTAGGCCACTCTGTGTCTAGCAGCCTCATATATTATACAAGGCAGACTACCCGGAGAGGTGTTAGTTTTGAACACAACTATGTGTTTTTTTTGGACAGGGCACAAAATAGTAATCTAGCTCAAGAGCAATAGCTTTCAATGTCACCAAATGTTACTCTAAGCTATAAAAATGTGTAACAAGAACACAATTATAAGCCCCTTTTGTAGTGCCATTATCTTAACATTGAAAATAAAGAACATAAGTAACGTAGCTTAAAATTATATGTTCAAGAAATGAAAGCAAATCAAAAGGTGATTGTGAAAATATGAGGAAGGAATATCCTTTGTATTATGGAACCCAGTCTTGTGTAACTTCAGAATAATCCTGTAAGTGGTTTAGAAAACAACACTTAAGTAGTTCAAGAATGTAAACTTTGTTTGTGAATTTTTAGAAAGAGTAAGAAATAAGATTTTAAACTTGCTTGTATGACCTACATTTAAAATTCAACAAGTAAATTTATAATAAGAGATTTATCAGTGAGATACTTTTTAAAGCAATATAAATTAATAGGAGAGAAACAACAATTCTTTAACAAATAGATGCTCCATTTCAAATAGTATTTCGAGAGATAAGTGCTTGCCAGTGATAAGGTTAATCACAATATCAGATGTAACTTTGTTCAATTGAAAACACTTTTTACAATAAATCAAAAGAATATATTTTGTATTATATATACATCAATGTTTCCGAGTGTATAAAGTGGGTAATCTTTGTAATTTATGAGTAGTTTATAAGTCAAATAAAGTTAAAAATAATGATAATTGTATTTATTGCGTTTCCTGTTTTTAATGTTGTAAATACTAAATAATGTGATTGACATATTTATATTGAACCCAGATCAGTAAAAATTCTTACTGAAATATACAGCCTATGAAAATAACATAATAATATATAAAAAAAACATTACCTAGCTGCTGTACGGTCATCATGCTCATAAAATGTTCCCCTTTTTGGAATATATTGAGGATTACTCCTGTCTTCATCATCATCTACTTGCTTCTCCGCTTCCTGCAAGTTTAATTATTTAATTCCAATAAGCAATATACAAAACTCTTATATATAATGTTTTCCTAAAGTAATCCATATCACAATCAAATAGTAATGTTTATACAGCTAACCTATTCATCTAAAACTAGCTTTCTCTGAATTCCCTGTAAATTCTTATTGGTAAATTTAATGCTAGATGGATAAACAATTATATGGGAAATGTTAATTGTTTGTATCATAACTATAGATTAATAGATATTTGATTTACCTGCGATTCCCCATCCTTGTCTGAATGCTCAGAATCGCTGCCTTGCGAATCATAATCTGATTGTTGACCACCTTCCTGAAAATCGTTAGCTACTTTCAACAACTGCATTTCTACTCAACTAGCGACTAAACCCTTACTTTCATTAGCAAGCTTAGCTTTGGCCTAAACAGCGATAGGTCGGTGAGTGGTTGTGACCTCAATCCAGAGAAAAGAAATGGTCAACTGGGCATTCCGACACGCGAGTGCGCGGGAGAAAGTGCGCGACCGCAATACATTTGGTGAATAAACGAAAGTTCCATGCATTAATTGCATGTGTCCAACTCACGTTTCCCGAGTTATTTTGCTCGATATCCTGCGAAGCGTCCGAGTATTCGCCCGAATCGTCCTGCTCACGTCTTCTAGCCACCGACGTCATTTCGACGCCTTCCGGTTTCACTTGCAGTACTTCCAGCTTGATGTCTTTATTCTAGATTTTATTAAGATTTTTTTTATCTTTTAATTATTGAATATAAAACCCACTTGAAGCAACGGCATACAAAACTTCAAAGAATGTCAAATGAAATAAACAAGAAAATCTGGCGGCCATAAAGTTTGTTCCATTTTAAGGAATTCCGTAATTTGTTGACTCAGTTTGAAACTTATAAACGTTGAAACTTTTTTTTGAACATTTGAATATGTCTTATCCTATTTGTGAGAATATTTTGCAAATTTTTAAAATTATCTTTCTTTCATTAAAATATAATTACTTTTATTGCATTACTTATTGTGTATCAAATAAATTGAACGTATGAATTGCATCGTATAATGGTACGTGAACTTTGTATACAATCTGTAGTCGATTAAAATATATCTACAATTTTAAAACTTTCCTTCCCTTTTTATTGACATGTAAAATACTACGACTATACTTCTTATTTTTTGTAAAAATATTTTTACACACGTATCAACAAAATTATTGTTTTTAATTATTTATCTATATGGTAAGACCGACGCAAAATGAAATGGAAAGAATGGCCTTTCGCTGACTACCATCTGTCATCTTTCAACAAATGTCAATTGTTATCGTCGCTGTGACGTTAAGTATTATTTAAATCTACATTTTACCAAAATCGTAAATTTTCGTACAATTTAATTGTTTCTGTAATCTTAACAAAATACCTATAAGTGGCTCGAATTGAACTGCAATGTCAACTATAGAAAGGTAAATAAGACTACAAAAGCAAGTAGATTTGGTTTTTTTATTGTAATGTTAAATGATAATTAGTCTATTTTTCAGTCCTGATGATGCTATAGACGAAGCAAGTCAAAATAACGCTGATGAAATGGCAGGTCAATTAATGGCAAAGGGTATATTAGAATTGTATGAGCCTCCATTAGTTACTATTAACACCCATTTAAAGGAATTGACGTAAGTTTTAAAAATTTCTTCGTTATAGACAGTAAACGTTACTCTTATTTACTCTTGACTTCTCTTGACAATATTGTACAGATTTTAAGCCTCTCCAAAAAAGAATTTATTCTGAAGAGTTTTTCAAACCCAGCACTGGTTTGTTAACCTATGGGGGAATTAGGCAAAGTCAAAGACAAAAATTATTTATTACTGTAGGTACATACACTTATAAATGTCAATACAGTTTAAAGCAAAAGACTTAATGGATATAAATGAATTATAAATTGAAAAAAGCCATCCTCAGCTTTGCTGTTGCTCTAAGCAATTAGCTACCGAGTCCTTCACGTCATCTTTGAATTTTTTGGTATATAAATGAATAAAATACTAATTTTTTTACACAGGGTTACAGATCACCTTCTAATCTGTAAAAAAAAATATAATGTACAGATAATATTTATTTGTTGCCGAGCTACTGGTTTAAGTTATATCTGTAAACCTTGATGTTTTTCAGTGACAAACAGGATGCAGTACACAATATCATGGTATCTGCAAGGCGGAGGTTAGAAGATACTGAAAACGATGCAACACTAGATGCATTAGTAAGTATGGTGGTGGTGGTACCATTTGATTCAACCATTTGGTGTCCATAGCTGGACCTAGGCTGGCCATAGGCCTGTCCCATAGACTTCCAGTACGACCAGTTGTTCACTAGTTGAATTCAGCATTTACCTGCCTTGACCAAGTCGTCGGTCCACTTGGTAGAAGATAGTCCAGGTTTTCAAAGTAAGTGGTCTCCACTCCAGAGCCCCAACGGCCGTCGGTTCTACGATCGTTGAACCCAGCCCATTGCCACTTCAGCATGGTACCATTGTGATATCAATAATGACTATTGGTGTTTGGCGAATACATCTTCCAATTTATCAGAAGTTAATCTAAACAACGCTATTTCAATATTTGCGTAATTGTGGTATGCCAAAAATCATATTTAATATTTTAAAAATGTGTTTACTTTAATTATTTTCAAATATTAAAAATATATTTGTAATTTCAGTTAGCTGATGTTGCAACAAGCAAGGAAAGACTTAATTCAATATCTAATTCAATGATGAGTTTACACAAAAGAGTACAATCTCTTCAAGTGAGTCATATTTTAAGTAGTTCTTGATTATTTAAATAAAAACTTTTTACAGCTTAAAACACTATATTTATTAGTTAAACTTATTTGATAATGATTGTTCACTATGGCCAACAATTTGCTTGCTTTGCAGTAGTTGTGGTCACAGGGAGACTACAGACAGTATTTAATTATTGATTTCTGAATGAATATGATTACACAAACTCAAAGTTTGTGGGTGAACATGTCCACTTCTGTATTGTGCCTACCTGTTATTAGTGTTTATTTATTTATTTAGAAAACCAAACAGTGCTGTCCCTTATGATAAGTAAAATTAATACAACACACTAGCAAACTTTCTTATGGAAATCTATATGTTTATACTCAGGGACAGTACCTTAAGAAGTTTCACTGAGAACATTGTAAGATATAAATTTAATAAAGCTTCACAAAATTGGTTTTGTCTCTATTATAATTTGGTATGTGTGATATATGTACATATATTAAGTTAGGTACGTTTCTATGTTACATTTCAATGCGAGCACCAAAATAAATAAACATTGTTTAACCTTTGAAAACTTTATCATTTTTTACATGTTATAGCACATGAAGGCACTATATAATTTTAGAATCGAAAAATTCGACTCGGGCAGGACTTGAATCGCGCGAGAGGTGTATAATTCAATAAGTTGAAAAAATTCGACGATGAGGTGTAGAACTCTGTAGCTCAATTGCTAGAGCAACAGCACTGAATGCTGAATCGTCAGCATTCCGTGCTGTGCTTTCGACTCAGGCAGAACTAGAACCGGCATCGGCCGGTTCTAGTCCTGCCTGAGTCGAAATTAAATCGTTTAGCCTGTTATTATACGATGAAACCATTTTGTTATTGTATGTACTATATTGTAGTTAAAAGCTTCTTAGCTAGACGCTTTGTGGATTTTCGTTTGTGACCTTCTGTTTTAAATTTTCAGGCAAGAGCAGCCAATATCGATAAGGTAGCGAAGAGTAAAGCTGCAAGTCCTACTAAAAGCAACAACAGCTAGTAACATTTAACTCCAGCATGTTTATATGTTAAGAAAAAAATTATTTTGTTTGATGATGATGAATGTTGATTGTTATAAATTTGCAATTTTTTATACAAAAATTTTATACATTTAAGATATAAATATTACTAATAGATATTACTAATAGACATAAATTATAAAATAAACATCAGATTATTTCCTTACTTAAGGAATTACTTTGCTCTATTTGTAGCTTACGTGGTTTTACATAGTAAATAAAACAATTTTGAACCTAAGAACATGCAAACGAATGTTGTCAGTGAACTTTTAACTGCGTATCGTAATAGTAACCTTTTCTTTTGTTTGTTATTCCTTACCTACCCACTATCCACTTAATAAGTCTTTCTCTATTTCTTTTCACCTGTACTTTAGGCCTGGAAGAGATCACTGCTTAGCGATAAGGCCGCCTTTATTTATAAGTTAGTACGTAAGATGTTTTCTATTTTTATGTATTTTTCTGTAGTATAGGTTATGAGTAATAAATAAATAAATACGTATCGTATATAGTACTGGATAAGTATTGTTCACGTTTCAAGCAAGCGCATAATTAAAAAAAAACATTTAATTTTTTCAAATTTATTTGAACTTATTAAAATATAGAATTTTCTTAATCCAAAAATAAGTGATAGGAATAATTCCATAGTGTGCATTCCATTACATTATATGTAACAAAAACGTCTACAATACTAAATGAGATATAAGTTTATTTACGTTATTTTTTCTAAGGCTAGTTATCTGTTTACGGCTCAAACAAATTGTTGTAAATGGCAGTTACATTATAAATAAATAAATTATTAAGAAGCGTTTTCATAATTTCTCACAAACCCTATCTCTGTCCTAGTTTTTTTGGGACATCTAAGTACAGTGGTCTCCAAACTTTTTGGCCGGGCTGAAGTTCGCGCGGATGGTTGCGTAGAGCGCAAAATGCAGGTCTCAGTTGCGACAAAGGGAGTACGGGGGGACTCGACTTTTTGTTTAAAATTCACGATACCCGATCAAAATGTTTGGAGAGAAATGAACCTTTTCACCGGACCAAACCAACAACAACAAAGTCGAAGGGATTTTTAGTCAATGCTTAAAAAACAAATTACTGGAAGTTTCAACTACGCACGCGTTTTTTAGAAGTTATGTCCACTGGTTTACCTACATAATGAAGCATTAAATAAGGCCGCTAGGAGCAAAGTAGCCTAACTGCAATTTCATGACTTGACTTATTTTTATAGTTTAAAATACTAGAAGATAATCTACAAGAGCTTAGTGACCGAAAAGTGTTAACATGATTCTTACCAAAATAATAATACAAATTAATATTCGCCCAAGCTAATAGCGCGTTTTTATTTTCCACCTTATTGAAAATCATGTTTTTTTATTAGACTTAGTGCTTCTAACAGCCTTATATAATCGTTATTTAACAGACACGGTTAAACAACTTTCCCTAAAATGGTTTTTCTATGATCGTATCACTTTAAAAGTAACGCATTACATTTATACTATTCTTAACCGGTATATTCCTATAAAAACCTTTATAACTTACTTTAAAAGATTAAGATTGAATGTACACGAATTAAAATCTGATTAGCTATTTTCAATTTGACAAACGTTAAAATTAATCATACTAAGTAGACACCATTGTTAATGTATCTTATACTTAAAGCTATTGCATTAAATATTGTAATATATAAATGGATTAGGCAGTGCAGTTATTCTTAATAAAAAGGTCTCTATGTCTTATCGATAGAAAGAACACATTTCTGTGTTTAAAATGTATTAGTTAACTTTACGTACAAACAATTTTGACTACAGTCTGACGTTTCGAATGTTTTACGCAGCCGTAGTTTTAATGAAAAAACTACTACGCTAGCGTCATCCGTTCCCTGTAGTTGGTATCTCGAGAAACTGGCTGGGTCTTTGCAGAAGATAATTTAACGGAGTCGGTCACCGGTATGCTGTTTTTTGGCTAGTCAGTTCTGCAAGGACCCAGCGAGTTTTGCCAAATGCCAACTACAGGAAACAGATGGCGCTAGCGTAGTCATTATTAATTTGACATTAGGGACACCCTCCATCTTCAGTTCCCCTGTGACCACTGCTGCTGAAAAGCATCCGAAACGTCGGACCGTTATTAAAATAATTTGTATATAAGTTAACCTTTCACGTTTTAATAAATTAAAAGTGTCTTATTAGTAAGTGAATCATCGTATTTAAAATGCATATTTTGCAAGTCGTTCGTCTTCACGTCATTGGGTCACACATAAATGATGAATTTAATGACTAAATTTTACAATATAATTGATTTTCTCGTGTTCTAAAACAGACCACTAAATTGACTTAAGGCATCTTCCATGGCATAGAAAATATTAACCTACAAGAGGTCGTTGTTAAATCATAGAATGAGTCACCTTAACTAGTTCTACAAGTATATCACAACATCAAAGTCCAGATCTCAACCAAAATCCCATGTCGTATTCAATAGAATTACCCCCCTGTTGGTCTTTATTCTTTTTGTGATGACGCACAGGGGTCTAATGAGGTGGGTCCTGTGTTATTTCTTTTGGTTAGCCTCTGTGACGTCACTCAGAACCGTCACCACGAAGGATTCGATTCCGGATTCGTCCACGCCCCTCGCGATACGGAAGTAGCCGTTCTCGCCCCATTCCGGGCCCCAGCTGTTGGCTACGATCTGGAAAAGACATAGACTATAAGTATATAATAAGTGATGTTTGTCATTCATCATGGCAATAAAATATTAAGGAGTAGCGAGTAGTCCGGCAACCAGTATCGGATAATCATAGGAAATAAAAATATGATTGTTGACGAGCTCATTGGTATGATGGTAGCAATGACTGATAATCAACCGGTCATGGATTCGATCCCCAGCGGGTCCAATGTGTTCCTAATTACTTTATAATTTTTCTGAAACATGTTGGACTTCGTCAAGAAATCTGAATATTAGATGGGTGGTAGGAAATTTAAAATTCGGTTCTGGTCACGAACCACCGTCCACATATGAAAAAGCAGTGAAGTATAATCGAGTTTCGGTTTAAGTCTGTAGATTTCCGAATATCCAGAGCCAAAATAGATTGACAGCGCATATGTTCTTCTTCCATCAAGCGAACCCCATGTTTGTCTCTCCTCTCGTATGTGTGTGTGTAATATATATATATACCTTTAATGGAGGGGATTTCTACGAGTGTGTTATGAATCCTATTGAAGCGTTAAGTAAAGGACATCTGTAAAAAGTTCTCTGCACTTTTAAATAAAATACTCTTAACGGTTTAATATGCGAATTATACCGGTTAAATTATTCTTAAGTAATTTTAACTGTTTAAAATAATTTACCTAATATATTTCGCGTTTTAAACGGTTAGAAGTATTTAAACGTTTGTTGCTCGCATTAACTAGAAAAAATACTGCACTTACCCAGTACTTGTCACCTCGCTCCTCTCCCCAGCCGATCATTCTCACGCTGTGGAGTCCTTGCAAGGTATTGTCACCATGTCTGCTGTGACGGTAGATTCCGTCTCGATAGTGGAAGAAGTCTTGGTACACTGTCATTACAGCTGTTAAAATAGTCAGAACATTCATTAAATGGTTATGTATAGAGTTATTTTTTTTTATTTTAGCAATATAGATTTTCACCTTCGAGGTGTAACATATTATTTTTACAAGCTCCAAGGTTGTTTAAGGGATGAAGGTGAAGGTTTATCGTAGTTTGGAAACTTTAATATTTTTCATGTTGCACATGATGGTATTATATAAAAGAAATAATCGATTTTAGATTGAAAAGCCAGAGCGCGAATAGAGCCTGTACCTAACAATAGTTTGAAAAAAATTAACACCGACGTAGAAGACACGGTAGCTCAATTGGCTAGGGCAACAGCACGGATAGCTGCGGATGCTGGCTCTGTCCGTGTGGTAAAAAAAAATCTTTCTAAAATCGCAGTCTTCTTGAGATTTTTGTCTGTGCTAAGGAATTCTTCAACTATTAGTAGATTTTGTAACTTGTAATAATGTCTGTAATTACGCGAGTAGTACAAATTGAAAGGGAGACACGGGGTGACCACGGCTGCTGCAAAGCGTCCCAAAACGTCGAGCCGTAGTTAAAATAAATTTTAAATAAGTTTAATTAATATATATCGAGTTTTAAACCGTTAAATTGTTTTATTTAAACTTGTTATATTATAATTGTAATATCGTTAAGTCCTTTTATATATTTTTAGGAAACATAGTTTTATGACCTAGTACATATTTGATTAAGGACTACAAAACACACTTAAATTTAGTGTCAAATATCGGTCCGCTCAAAAGTCATAATGACCACTTACGGTGAATACGAATTGTAGATCTAATTAATGATAAAAACAGAGTCGTTTAATACCGATCAATCATAATATTTAATCTTTTGAAGGACGTCTGAGACTGAATACATTCCTAGCAATCAGCTATTTCCGTGTTCCTTTGATGTGCCGCTTTAAGGAATTCATTAATTAATGAGTCTACGTCACTATTAAATAACAAATAGAGATAATACAGTACGCTAAAAACTGCTACGGCTTCTATAATATTGATTAGTTCTTGATGTTGTCTCCAAACGAAAGTTAACAGAGAAAGATTCATTCAACGATACAAGATGCATTGATTCTCTTATCTAATGAGAGCATAATGATTAGGGTCACAACGATTATTTGCTATTAGGGTACCAGATAAAAAAATTGTACAAGGTCGTGATAAGGTTGTGTATTTTCTAAGTCTAAACGATTGTCTTCCGAGATAAAGTGTAAATCTAAGCAATCAATGCGTGTGGAAAATATTTGCTGGCAACACGAAAAAATACATTTAAGTAGGTACAGTATTCTTAGTAGTATATAGTATTATTTGGCTTCCATTTGGACTTATCTACATATAGATTATATACTCTGTAACATTATAAAGCCGAAAAGTTTGTTTTAACGCGCTAATCTCAGGAAATACTGGTTCGAATTAAACAAATATTTTGGTGTTGGTTAACTATTTATCAATGTCTATATTTTAATATCTGAGTTTATATTAAAATATAGACAAATACTATCACAATAATGTTTTTAGATTATGTAAGAAGAATAGGTAATAACCGTTTTCGCAGCGCACGCGACGGAAAAATGAACTCTAAGATGAGTAATTTTTATCCGTTTTTTCTACAACTCGCAGTGTATCTTCACTCCTGATTTACATCATATCATACATGATTCGGTTACCCGAAAGAAAAGAACCGTATTTACTTAATCAACTTTTGGTAAATATTTCATATGGAAAAAGTACGTTTTCACGTCAGCTTGTATTTGTATGTATATTTTGACTCGAACTAACGTATTACTTACCCTGTACTGGTCCTGATTCCATTATATCGTACATGATATCTGCTTCCTTGCTTAACCTCCCAGGAGGCCCAACCTTGTATCTTGAAGTTCTCTGCCTGACAGGTGGCCGGCAGCCGTCTTCAATCAGGTTCCCCCTCGGTCTGAATGGACATCTTACAACTGCCGCTTTGTAGGGGAAACATCTTTCATCGACCAATCTGAAAATATCGTTAATATCTTATAGGATGTTGACCACTTTATTCAGAAGTTATTAAAATTACTGTATAAAATACACATTGTGTTTTGTATATGTTCGATAAAATCACATTTCCACTTCAATCCAAAGACCATTAAAATAAGAAATCGATAACGATAGATTATCTGATTGTAGATTAGATTATTATTATTATTATTTTGTATTAGGGATATCGATAGAAGGGTGATCAGTCGACGCCATTTGCTAACCACATCACCCATTTCCTATTCCCCCTTTGCGAAGAGCATTGTGTTAACCGGCTCTCACTTTGTTCAACCCTTCTTTGTAGAATATTAACAACTTGAGATTAAATACAACAGCGAATTTATCATAACAAAGCAAGGTCTTACCCGTGCCCTCTAGCAAAGTTCCAGGCGATGTCGATGTGACCGCCTCTACAGCCCTGTTGCTGACGGAGATTACACGAGAGTAGGGTCTGTGGACTCAAAGCTAGAGCTTCTGCGCCGTTCGATTGGATAGCGAATCTGTGGACAACAGTTGTGAGTTATAATAATGATAATATAGGTACTACTAAATTTTATTCCAAATGGCGAAGACACATTGAATGGAAAAAATTGTGATAGCGGAGGACAGCATAGGGTTCATTTGTTCATAACAGGGGAAATAACCCAAGCATTATACCATCCAAGCAAGATGCGCTGTCGTCCTATTCCGGCTTTGGACATTCGAACCTTAAACTTAGGTTATCTTGGTAATAAGATGCCAAGTTAACAATAAATGTACTTTTAAGTGTTATTTCTAAAAATGTTATGTGAACTTAAGAACGTGCAGCTGTGTATCAAGTGGATACAATAATCTTTAGCGATAGTAACTAGATACGATAGTAACCTAAGAAGTAATGAATGTGTATATATAATTGGATATTTACGACAGCATATGAAACCGAGCACAAATAAACATATATAGAATGTATGAAGAATGAGTTACTAAAATATTACTGTAGTGAGTAAAGAACGAATGTGAAATCTCGTCGTATGGGGCACGAGATTCTGTATTCGTTTTGCTGTTCAATTTATTTTAATCACAGGCAAGATATTAAACTAGTTGAAACACTCTATTGGCGGGCTCATTGGTGAAGGTAACATCAACACCAATGCATGGCTCAACATGGCATCAACGGATCGTGGGTACGATTCCCACCGAGTCCAACATTTTTTTTATCAATTTATAATTTTTCTGAAAGATGTTGAACTTCTTCAGTATATGTAGATATTAAATAAGAGACAGGAATATCGAATTTTCATCTGGGCTATGAACCATCGTCCACTGATGAAAAATTCGTGGATTTTATTCGTGTTCGGTTTAAGTCTGTAGATTTCCGAATATCCAAAGCGAACTTTAATCGAAAAAGCATCTCATTTGGATGTTATATGACTGGGGTATGCTTCTCTGTCTTAAAAATTCAATGTATCGTTACCCCGAGATTCAGACTTAGAACCTGTCGTGAGTAACGCAATTTCAGGCAAGCGTTTGACCATTGGGCTACAAAGGCCGTTAGTATTATATCAAGTAATCCCAAAATTTTAAAACAATTTTATTTATTAGTACGATACACTTTATCCAATTCAATCAATTTCAATCAAATACAACGAGTTATAATGTTATAGCGTCTCCATAAAAATCCTCCCGCAAAGGCCATATCTGTTTACAGTCCCAGCACAAATTGTGGGACAGTAGTCATGACATAATACGCGTTGTTACTTATTATGCAAAGTAAACTTTACTTCCAAGAACAAAGCCACGAAGAAATTTCAAAGGCTCTAATAACATTGGAAAATGTACTCTATCTTATGTGCACAAGGTGTATAATACTTCGCACGTAACCTGAGGGCTTTCAAGGGCCCTAAGTTATTTTGAACTGAAGTGTTCTCGAGTTACTAAGCTCACTTGTTCATTGTTCCGACCTCTGACATAGCCTGGATTCCTTTTCATACACATGCAATTAAACACCTCAAATTCTCAAGTGCAAAACAACTTGAATGGATAATGTCGACGCTTCAATCAAAGAGATTGGGGTACCGCGAGCAGTAATTAACATAACATAGAATAACTTTTTATTTTATTATAGACGAAGGCAGACAAAAGTGAATGTTCAGTTCAGAAATACCCCAGCCATAATACATTTTGACAATATGCGCTTGTCGATCTGTTTTGACTTTGGATATTCGGAAACCCAAATACCGGAAGCTATAGATGGCGGTTGGAACGGACGGAATTTTGATATTCCGACCACCCATTTCATATCCAGACGAAGTTCAACATGCTTAAGAAAAAATATATATTGATTAGAAAAATGTCGGACTCGGTGGAGATTCTACAATTCTAGATCGGTGCTACAATTTCACCAAGGAGCTTGTCAAAACTTAGCAAAACGGCTAAAGCTACGTTATTGAATGATATGGTTGGCAGTTACTTAGCACGTAGTTATTTCTTTCATCGGTTTAAAACACTTCCAAATCGCAACTACTGTTATTACAATATTTATAGGTGCCAGTTGAAGTTCCTTCTTCACACGTGCCTACCCTTTCCGGATTAACTTAAAATAAATATTTAAAAACAATTTAACGGATGAAAACGTCATATATATTATTATAACTTGTTTGAAAATTATTTTAACGACGGCCCGACATTTCGGATTATTTGCAGCAGTCGTGTAACATTTTAAACCGTTAAAGTGTTTTATTGAAATGTGTACCACTCGCGTTAACTACAGACAGTATTTAAAATTAGGTAATTATTTCACGCCAATAAACTTTAAGTTTTAATATTACCTGTCGGAAGCAACACCAGCAATGGAGACAGCCCAGTCGGAGCCACACCACCCCTGGTCTACCACGGCTGATATGAAGTTTGGCCAGCGTCTGCGAGCATCGAAGTTCTGAGGGTACGCAATATTTTTGTCGTAGCGGATCGCACCCATTCTTCGCGTCTCACGACTCAGAGGAAATGTTCCTTTTAACAAAAATAATTATGTTTTTTTTTACATTTACACCGCTTTCGTTTATAACTTTTAAAACAAATGAATATTCATATATTAAAAGGGGATAAGAACAAATAGAAATATGATGTAGAGTATAAAGTAAACAAATTCCAGTAAAGGTAAGGCTTGTTCACAGATGACAAAGCCTTGAAGCTTATTCGTGTTACTCTTTTAGTCTGTGGATTTTCCAAATATCCAAAGCCAAAATAGATCGACAGTGCATCCTGTTGTTGTTGTATAACTGGGGTATTTTACTTATTATTATCAAGTGAACATATAAACATGGGGGTTTGTCTATTCTCATTTATCTTATAAAATAGGTTATTGTTAGTATCATACTTGCGTTGTTCCGTGTCATTAGAATTTGAAAAATAACCATACAGCCCTACCCATACAAAAAATAGGTCCAAGCAGAAAATATAAATGCAATTTCGCATAATGATTGATTGACTTAAAGGTCACATCACAAAGAACACCGAAGGTGACATGGGACAACTGTTGTGAAGGACTTAGGTCCTCTTCAGACTACGCATATACTATACTAGCTGTGTCAGCGACTTCGTGCGCGTCAATTATTGTATTGGCCATCAAAATTTGTTTTCGCGAACCCCCTCTTTATATTTATAATAGCTGTTACCCACGACGCCGGTCGCGTCCCGTTGTTCTTGCAAGTTAATCTTAAAAGATAAACATATACACTCTTATTACAAAACAAGGACTAACTCTCAAATCTGGTTTATTTGAAATCCTTATTACAAAACGAAGTTTTACGTTAGTACTGGACTAACTATGGTACTGACTTAATCTAAGTTATTAGTTATTTAGACCATGGTTTAAGAGTTAAACCAAGACTCCGCAGGTCTAGTTTAATTTTTTTTAATAAGGCCGATAGTGTCGTGGACATTTTTGTATATCATTTAAATAGGAATCATTCATTAATATATATTTTTTGGAATTTGAAGCCTTTTTGCAGCGTACGCATTAGAAATCCCACAAAGATTTGTCAATGTGTAATTTTATAGACAAGTTTATCAGGTAAATATTATTAATACATTTTAATTTACCTGTACATAATAAAGAATGGTTCGCTATATTTTCATACTATGACCTATATGTTATAGTGTAGTCTGAAGAGAGGTTTATCGTCCCTGTTATGACCTAACCATTTTGCGAATGATAATAATCAATGTCTTTTCAATGTGGTCTTTGAATGTATGTCGTACCTACTTATCAGAAGTCTAGATCTAACATTATTGTTGGGTTTCTTTGTAGTTCCAAGATTATGGAATTTGAATCTTGATAGTTATACAATACTGTCTGTAGTTTACGCCACTAGTACACATTTAAATGAAACAGTTTAACGAAGCATATATATTAGTGTAAACTTAAAAAAAATTTTAAATACGAACGAATATAATATATCGCGTTTTAAAATGTTGTAATGTGTTTATTTAGCTATACAATATTTGGTTATAGTATTTGTAAGAAGGACCTATGAAATATAATAAATTTTCTCTATGTCCACATACTTAGCGAAAAATGAAAGAGTTTGAAAAAAAAATTCTTAATATTTAGATATAGATTTTTTTGTGTAAGGGCAACATTTTGCAACTTTTTGGTGTTTCCAAATTTTATCACATTTTACAATTTTCGTGTAACTAACACAGTCTCTAGATTCTTGTATTTATTTAAAGCTCTTCTGATAAATAAAAGAGGGCATATTTACTCTTTACCATTCGACAATTACAAGTAACGTTTTCTAATATCTCTATGATAGTATTATATATCTGTAATTGTATTATAAAATGAAGAGTTTGTTTGTTTGTTTGAACGCGCTAATCTTACGAACAACGGGGTCAAATTCAAAATTCGAGGAAGCTTTATAATACACGAAAATTAAAAATATAATTAATAAATTTGGGAGGTAGTTTATATTTTATGTAATGTTGGAGAGAATGAGAGAACTCTTTCTTCTATCTGATTCTATTAAGCATCATTTGGTTACATAATGAGGCAACATTTTTGTTGTTAATAGATTGTAACACTTCTTGATTCGTAACCTCTTTTAGTTCGCTTTCCAAAGCAAATTATGAAAATTATTAATGCCCCAATAAGTCTTAAGAAGCACAATGGAAAGTGGATCATTGTATAAAGAGAAAGTCTGGCTAATCTAGGTACAGACTTTCATCAGCTTAATGCTATTATTGTATCTGCATACAAATGTTCTTTAAGTATAGTTCATACAAAAACAACTCACGGTTTAGTTAAACAGAAGATTTGCCTGATATGGGCCATATTAGCTATATTTACGATTTGCATCTTCATTTATAAGGGTTATTCAACTATTATCCAACTACCATCAACATATCTATACCTACTAATAGAAAAAGTTGAAGAGTTTGTTTGTTCGAACGCTTTAATCTCAAGAATTACTGGTTCGAAGTGAAAACATATTAATTGCGTTGCTTAGATCGTTTGGATCGTCGAGGAATTTATAATTATAAACTATAACACATGTCACTAATAGGAGCGAAAAAAACAGCGGGAAATATGAAAAGAACGGGGAAAACTATTAATTTTTGTGAGTTTCCAATTCGTACGCTGCGAAAACCTTGGACACTCAAAAATATGTATGACAAAATGATTCCGAAAAAATGTCCGTGACACTATATTGATGACACGACCGATGTCGTAGACAACAGCTTAAATTTATAAAGTAAAGAAGAAGTCTTGTAAAAACAAATTTGGATGTCCAAAATAACGATTCTACGCGGACGAAGTCGCTGACACAGCTTGTATTAGTATAGATACATACCCAACTTATAAATGAGTCCATCTTTTAACTTCTTTCCGTAGAACTGCGAGTAATTATACGCTCGCCAGCTCATTCCTGGCTGGTTCACTCCATAGACGACGTCCTCACTCATCAAACAAGCATCTCTCTCGCATTTCCAATCTGTGGTAAGTGTCACTTCATTTGTGATCACGCATTCACTGTAAAAAAAATTATGGTTTAGTTTTTTTTTAAGTAGCGACCCGCCCCGCCTTCGCTCGGGTACAATGCTGATACTAATTACACTACAGAAAAACTGTGAACGTTGTATATAAAAATCTTCCTCTTGAATCACTCTATCTATTACAAAACGCACAGGGAGGGCCAGAAATATCCACTTTATATACAATATGTAGTATTTCAGCTACGGAAGTACGCTTTAATAAATAGAGAAGGATAGACAAGCACTTGATGGGAAGGTGAGATACCTCATCCATATAACATCTTAACAAGATGCACTATTGACCTATTTTAGCTTTGGATATTTAGAGTATATTGGAGTACGTTTCAATTTAAAAAAATTGAAATAGTGAATAAAAAAACTTTAATTGAAAAGTAAAATATCTTTCAAACATTGGTTTTGAACAATTATTTTGAGATAAGTTAAAAAAACACTCCATAAAACATTTATAACGGTTTAAAACACAAAATAGTTAACTTATATATAATTTATTGTAACGCGTGACCACTGCTGCAAATACATAATCGAATTGTCGTTATAATACATATAGAACTAAATATTTTTCGCGTTTTAAACAGTTGTAAACAGACAATGCTTAAAAACATTCCACGTTTCGTAGTTTTTTATTAGGTTTTAAAGGTTTCTCTAAATCTTTATATCTATCTAATATATATATATAACTTCGAATACATTTAGCTATAGTATATCTATCTTCGTAACCAAAATAAAAAAAGTATTTTGAATTATGTGTCATACACATTTGTTTCATATAATTAAGTCACATTCCATTTGTGCTACGTTATATCTTACATGGCATCAATTCCAAAACCCATAAATTAAAAATAGTTTAAATGCCTCAAGGATTACATCACAGAATCGAAGACATGCTATAAATAACAATTTGCATTAGGTTCGACCGAAATATCACCATTTAATGAATGAATTCTGCGATTAATTGATGTTATTAATAGTTAGAATAACAGACTAAGGCCTTGCAAAAGCTTAGCACAACATTATCGTTCTCTACTAAGCGATTGTGTTCATGCTACGCTATATATTATAAATATCTCGCGTAGTCTGACAAAAGCTTTACACTTTCCATTTTTCTCCTTAATCTAAAAATTACCAAATTCAGACACCCGAAACGACGGGCCATAGATAAAAATAAGGTAAGTTATAAACGTGATATAAATTAAAGTGCAAGTCGATGTGAACCTCAGAAATTAAGTCAACAACCAAGTTACAGAGTAGAGAGTAGATAGTTACTATTTTTCATGTTCCGGTTTTTTGTAACAGCGAAGGACATGCAAACATGGTTTTGACTTGTAAATACCTCAGCCATATGACATCTAGATACCTATTTTGGTTTTGGTATAGAACTAGCTAATCATATCTAGATACACTTATACATGTTAATACACTTACAAGAAAGGAGTATTTTTACATTTACTACTTTCTACTCTCCGGGTTGTTATTAGATACCAAAATAACATTTCTTCCAGCCCAAGATTCAAACCCAAAACTCTTTTGCTCTTGTTTCTCTTCAGTTTGTTATAACATCTAAATAAGAATCTAGTTAGTCACCATAAACTGTTAAAATCACATGAATAATTAATCTATTATATAATCAATCATTCAACCTTCCTACATGAGATATATCTATGTGGATACAAAAAATCTAATATATTATCATAGTCATGGTCAGTTTTATTGGCCTCCTCAATTCAGAATCTCGTATGTGATTTGAATGCGCTAATGTCCAAACCAAAATAGGGCGAAAGCGCTTGTATCTCAAGCGTTTATTGAAGTATTTCAGCTTGCATGAATGGACGCCATTATATTTTATCCTCTGTCATAAAAAAAACTCTCTATATAGTAGTCGGTTTATTTACGAAAACTACGAAATGTGTAGCTAAAAATGAACCAAAGCAAATCCCATATTTTTTGCGTACATATAGTGAACAAACGTAATGTATATTCCAAATAGGGCTCTATAATTCGATCATGAGTGAAATAAAAATTATTAAAGGCATATTTAAATCAAACACTTTAACGGTTTAAAACGCGATATAATAGTTAAACTTATTTGACCGTGGTCGCGGGGAAACAAACAGATAGGCAGATGGCTGCTGCAAAGCATCCGAAACGTCGGGCCGAAGCTAAGAATAATTTTCAAATTAAAGTTATAATATTGTTTACTTCATCACAATTTTAATTTAAGTTGATAACGAAGGGTAGCAAAAAAAATCAATATTAGTAACAATATAAATCGCGTTTTAAATTGTCAAAATTTTTATTTAGTAGTGTACTACTCGCGTAAACTACAGACACAATTTAAAAGGCATTAAAATGTTGTTAATCATGTTTTATCCTGACACATGGCTTCGCTTATGGATCAAGGTTACTACTTATTTTAAGAAAACCCTTTTAACGGTACAAAACGCGAAATATATTGTTACAATATTGTTTTTTTGCAACCCTCATTATCAGGAAGTAAACAATATTATCACTTACAAGAAACTGTTTACGCGTTTCAACACTTCTCGGGTACTTGGACATCCGCTTTTGAAGTACACTTAACTATAATATTACGAATGAATCTGATGTCATATGCCCTTAATGGTATATATTTGTTTAGATAATATATAATTTAACTACAGATCGAAGACAAGTGAAATAAACCTAGTATTTTATTGCAATGACTCATTTTATTGTCATACAATGATACAAGCTTCAATGACGTCACGATTCTTGTGTCACATTGTGAGGTCAAAAGACAAACATAGACATAATATTCTCAACGCCCTCTTGCAATGCGCTCTCGAAAACTTACAACAATAGTGTCAAATCTATTATTACAAAGCTGAAAATATAACCTATACGTTTGTTTGGACGCGCTAATCTCAGAAACTAATCGTTAGGGAATAATTGTTCTTGTTTGCTATACTCTATGTTATATGTTATAACTGTTTATTTTTAAGATTTTATTTGGTTTGGGTATTTGCTTCGAAGAAGACCTGGTTTGAAAATGTTCTTGTAAGCCAGGAAACATTATCATCACATCTTTTGTTCTTTCTAATTCCTTAAAGGTACGTAAATTACCAAAATAACAACTTACAAATAATTGTGTAATTTTTACTACCATTTTATTACATTTTAATAGTAAAGTAGTGGAGTACGTGCCGCATTATACTTTTACCAATTGTAACTTTAAGTTAAGTTTAACTTTAACTAAGTTTTTAATTTAAACTTTGTTTTCATTTATTGTCATCCAAATATTTTAGTTAAGGGATGTACCTAACACGCTCTATTACGTAACCGAATGTTTTTATCGTGAAGTGATAATAATTGACAACATTTCGGTGTTACCTTTGAAATCCGACTCGCCTTACGTCATCGACCATGGTCACAATAGACATTTGTCGAAAAAACCTACTCGTCGTACGGTAGTTTACAAAAACTGTTAACAAGGCGATAATAGCCTTTTCATTACACTTATTTTGAGTCTTTACGGCGTTGTATAGATATTTATAGATTGATTTTTATATCTGCATTTGTTATTACCCAATTGTCTTTTATTGTATTATTTTATTTATATATGTATTATTTACATACACTACTGTGGAGTTTGTATGCCAATAGTTCATGTTAATAAAAAATGTATTAATGTGTTATCGCCAAACAGTAATGTCTTCCAGGCAAACAAATGTGAAGGGGAAACAAGCAAGAAAGGTAGTTGTACCTAGGTGGTGCTACATGAGAATGCAAAAAAAAAAGAACTGGAAAGATACAATTTTAAAACTGAGGTTTTAAACGTACAGAGAGAGAGTTCCAGAGATCATATACCTATATTCATTCTGGCCTCTGCCAAATTAGTGTTTGTCTAGGTTTCAAACCTAGAACCTGTAAATTTTGCAATATGCAACTTCCATTGATTGCACAATCTTGTCATAATGTAATATGGTTTATTCTTCTCCTAAATAAACCATTCATAGTGTCGCTATTGAAAAATTAAGTCTCATTAACTTGATTCTTGCGGTAATAAAAACACTTTACACGTTTATGTGATAAATCATGAGAAAGATAAGATGTGTAGCATCCAAAAACAATAAATTTTGCGCTAATCTTTTTTATCGAAATATTGCGATTATTATTTTTACCTAAAACAAACAAGGGATTTTTATTAATCAAGGTCAAAAATATAAACCCAATTAGATAAATCCACCTAGGATTAAGTATTAAGCGATACATAAATATTCTTAGTGTTTTTTATTGGTGTCACATGAGCAGAAAGACAAGCAAGGTTTCGTCCATTTTAATACGTGCTTTAAATATTGGTGACAACAAAATGTATCTTCGAAGCCAAATAACAACATAATTTGAATTCTACACACAATAGGCCTATAAAAAATCGTTAACGTTAGTTTAGGGGACGGCAGCACATGTTTAGTATCGATAAGTGGGAGACTAATCTATACTGATATTTAAAGCTGAAGAGTATGTTAGTTTGTTTGAACATGCTAACCTCGGGAACTACGAAATCGAATTTTAAAAATCTTTTTGTGTTGGTCAAAGCGTTTATCTAGGAAGGCTATAAGCTATATAACATCGCACTGTGACTAATGCAAGCGAACACAGCGAGAAATGTGGAAAATTGGGAAAATTATTCATCATTTTGAGTTTCCGAGGCGTAGACTGAGGTTTAAGATACTTGCAAAAACGACGGGAAGGGACGTGACCGATGTCATGGGTAAGAGCTTAATTTATAAAATGAAGGGGTTTCCAAAACCGAATTTGGATGCCCAAATAACTATTCTATGCGGACGATTCAGCTAGCAATAATATAAAAGCCTAATACAAACTTAATTTTCCTCTATCGTTAAGTTATATAAGGGCTATAGTTGGGTGTACTAAAATGACTAGTTGATATTAGACGATTCGTATTTTCATAGTGAAATCCTCGTAGGCGCTTCTATACATTTGTATTCAAGATTCGCAAAGCGGTCATTAAACCATAAAATAAATGTTTGCTTAAACAAAGTGAGATTTGTAAAAATTCCTTTCGACTTGCATCAAACCGCAAATATTCCGTGAACAAACTATCTTTCGTAATTAAAGATACGAAAAGAGAATGTAATCCTTATTGGGTTTTTATAAGACGCAATAAAAAGTCATTTTGCTATCTGTATCGCTTTCATTTAACGGTAAGAAAGAAATCGATCGAGGCACATCCCTATATTTAGTGATGGCTTGTCGCCAGTGTTATTGACTGTGAATCGACCACCTGTGATGCCTAAATATAACTATTGTGTCAATTGTGTCACGATCACTCCCTTGAAAATGCTTTTTAAATATTGTACTGTCGACATTCCACAATTGTAATCCACATGTAACAACCTAAAGATTGATGTTGAACCTAAGTTATCCGTCACAATCTCTAATTTTCTTTTGTTTTTTAATGGTAAAACAGAACAGACAAGCAGGGTAATATATCAGCTTATAGTATCTAAACAAGATGTCCTGTCGACCTATTTTGGATTAAGCACAAGGGCTTTTTCATTTGTGGACGGTGGTTCGTGACCTGGACTAAACATCTATGTACCCATAATATCCAGATTTCCAGACGTAGTCCAACATGTTTCAGAAAATTCAGACCCCGACCCGTTGATTATTAGCTATACATTGCTACCATTAGATTAACGAGCCGGTATAATTTGTAAACATTCATACCATGGGGATGAAGAAATATGAGCCATGAAATTAATATACGAAGTGTAAATGGGTAAACAAGAACTAGTAACACACACTATTTTACCGAACAAAGACTAAACGAATTTGCTTGCAATTTTTCAATGATTGTAACCTTCGCATCCTTTTGACCAATTGTTTTTAATTTAACGTTCGGAGAAACTGAAAGCATTCTTGTATCGACAAATGATAGAGACCAATTGCTATTTTTGACAGCACACAAATTCGGTCTAATATTGAACACAATTTCCCTTATATTCTCAAACAAGATCGAGCTAGTTTTAGTCTCTTATTGCCATTATCGTCGTAACGATAACATACATTGACATTAATTGTATATATAAGTATTCTTATAATTAATTACTTGAGTCAGCTTTAAGATATTTATTGTTTGTAACCTGGAAAAGACTAGTCACCCACGATACAGGATTTCCTGGTCTAGGGAATTAACTTAATATTTTTTTATTATTATTCTTTTGATATTATCGTAATCTTAATACGAGTTTCAGAGCTCGATCGACCGTCGTTTGTTATTTTCATAAAAATGGAGCGGTCGATCGGCCGATGGAACGATTTACTTTTGAATTGAAAAAGTTCACGCTTGATAAGCCGTTAAGTTTTATCTGTCCAACGGTACACTTGCAACAAAGTTACACATTAAGCAAATAATCTTTACAAGCCAATGAAATTGACGTCTTTAAACCGTTAACATAACGTTCACATTATAAGAATCTTCACCGTCTCAGGGTACTGTTGCAGGTCCGGTATTATACTTCGTTTATATCACCGATAAACTGTTACAGTTTGAAAGTGTAACTTTATACCTAATGTATTCCCAAACCAGCCGTGTCATTTGTTTATTATCTGTATAAATGTAAATATTTTGCACAACCAGAAACAGATGCGTGGGCAATCTTGCCAGGGGTTTTGCAACTTGATAACTTAGTTTCCGGTTTAGGATCACCTCGATTAATAAATGATAACAACTTTAAGACAGTAAACAGTTATGCAATTTATCATGCTCATATTTCTGTACATATGTTTTAGTGGTATCTTCTAGGTTTGTTATGCTCAATTTTGATTGTGATGATTGAATCGTAAACTCTGTCCTTGCTCAAAACAAATCGGTCAATTAACAAAATGTTATCAAGGTCTTAATTAAGCTGGCGCGTCTATTATTAGAGGAATTAGCGGTTTCTAATAAGCTTCGTTGTAGAGGTTATAATGTTTAGATTGTTAAACGTTGAATTAAGGACATTGAAGACTTTAAATAGAGTAGTATTATTGTGGCCGAAACTTTGAGGGATTTTTTTCTTTTTTAGGACTTAGATCTGACTGTGTTGTTTTAAAAAGGTATACAAGCTAAGCTATTGAAAATCTTTTTAAATCTTTATAAGTAACTGATAATTATTAAATTATTTTCGACTAACATGAAACAAATTTTACTATAAATAATGCAAAACAAAGATCTCTAGGTCATTCGGTACAAAAATAATACATTCAAAAATATATTTTTAAGAGTCAAGACCAAGACCACATAAATATTCAGAAACCAGGTCAGTATGGCTATTATTTACTTTAGAGAATGTTAAAATGACAGCTTCACATACTGAGAGCTCATAGTAAACGGAGATTAAAGATTTTTAACTGCTTAACAAGTTGTTAAGTTTGTAATGGCTTTGTTGATGAGAGATTAGTTTCTCATTTTTAAATAACGCCGGTAGTAGGTATGCGGGTTGGATTTGGGTAAATTAGTTATTAGAAATAAAAGTGTACGATGATTACAACGAAATTTTATATAATAATGATAACGTAATAATTTTTTTATTAATTAAACATTTCCTCACGATGTTGCACGCGCTTATAAAAGTTAAAGATTTGATATATTTGATACATTACATGATGGCATTTAGCATTTAAATAGACTCACCAAGTATTACAGTTGTCACTTCTTTTATCTCCAGGGAAGTACTGCTTGTTTCTGTAGTTACACGGCTGGATAAGGAAACCGGGATCTGGCTGGATGCCCAAGCAAACGGCTTCATAGTCTGGACAACAGTCGTCGTGGGCTCGGGTTCGATTACAGAATTCATCACAGTAGCACAGGGTATCTGGAAAGAATTGATAAGTGTGGAGTTTCTAGAATAAGTTTTTTCTATCTGTTTTCCTTTCGAGGGGCATAAGACAGACACATTTTTGTGTCTTCTTTGTTGGCGATGTGATTTAGTATAAGCAGTTTAACAGGCCAACGTGCTTATCCAGACCGAAACAATTTATCGTTTTCTCAGCATCCCTACAGCAATTCTGGAACTGTGGAGGTGATCTTCGTAAACTTACCAAGTATTCTGTGCGAGCAGTCATCTTTCCTATCCCTGCAGCACTGATTGTTTGAGGGTTGTCCACAATAGGGTCCTGGGGGTAAGTCTGGTCTATGGTACGCTGCTGTCGCTGTTATGGTTGCACAAAGCAATACTATGTGCAATCTGAAAAAAAAAACAAAATATTTTAGACTGGCTATTTAAATGTTAAATATGAAAAATACTAAGTTCAGCTATAAATTTACATTCCATATATAAACTGAAACATGATTTTGAATATGTTCTAAGCCTAAATAATTATACTTATTAGTTTTATACATTTTCGTCTGTTTATTTTACATAGTTACTACGATTTAAATAAAAGTATGAAGGTCTCGGAAGAACAAAAACACCTTAAATTTTTTGTTTTGTACTTAGGTAAACCTTGGTAAATTATTCTTCCATCATTGGTATGCGTAGATCTGCACCTTCAATTCTAGCGTTAACAGCTGTAAAATCCGCAGTTGTTTTGTTCAAATACATGATAAGGCTAATTCAAGTGATTTATGTCGTCGTAAAATATCATAGAATATATAAAATACTGTATTTTCCGAGACAAATTAATTTAATTACTCAAGTATATTTACATTAAACCACGGTTTGAAGGCATCTTCCAGCTTATAGCCTAAAAAGTCCTGGGTTTGAAACCAGAGGAAAAATTATAAAATATGAATCTGTATGTCGTTTTTGTTGTGCGGGAAACAGAACTAACTTCGGCCCGACGTTTCGGATGCTTTGCAGCAGCCGTGGTCACGGGAAGACGCCGAAACGTCGGGCCGAAGTTAAAAATCATTTTCAAATAAGTTTAACTAATATATCGCGTTTTAAACCGTTAAAGTGTTTTACTTAAATTTAAACTATATGCCTGTAAATAATAGCGAGCAAAGAAGCAGATATAACAGATCTTATATCGGCTAATGAGGTAGAAAGAAACATATGCGTTTACCATACGGAATTAGGTGCCCTTCAAAAGGTTCATTTTTTTTGGACACACACTGAGTAAAAAAATCAAAATAACTACCCACACATATACAACATCCTAAACGTTATTTAAATATAAAAAATACCTAATAAGTACTTCAAATAAGATAAAGTAGAAAGCTTCCTAGAATAGATAGTTTTATCACACTCCTTGCTTGAGCCGATAAGTATATCACATCTGCAAAAAAATATTAATCTACAGTACATTGACCTATTTTCTGTCAATCGTATTGATAAGACTAACGAAGGTGTAAATCAATTTACAATAGCTGTAACTACTGAATATTGAAAAACGAATAAAATTGAAATATCTGAAACACACTCTGTTAAAAGAAACGATAATAATATGTAGTAACCTTGCACAGTAATCGTTATTAATAAAAAAATATAATCATTTAGTACATAAAACAATAAAAGAAACAACTAATAAACTTTCAAATTAAGAATATACATTATTAAAGTCACCCTGGAAAATTCCGAAATGGGAATGTCCCAGGTATATATACATAAAATACTTTAACGATTTAAAACGCGATATATATTAGGTGAACTTATTTGAAAATTATTTTAACTTCGACTCGACATCTCGGATGCTTTGCAGCAGGTCACGGGGAGACCCCGTATTTAAATATCATCAATTTTTTAAGTAATCTAGTCCAAATCGTCAGTTCGTAAATTAAACCTAAGTTTAACTAATATATTTCTCGTTGTTTATTATTCAAATAATTTAAAGTTGAGTTGAGTTCACATAATAGTAAAAAAACATGTGGCTCGGAACAAATACTTGATCTAATTCGCACGCAATATATCACTTTGATTACGATGCGCTAATTAAATTTTCGGAAAATGTTAATCCATAACACATGCTATCGACTTTTTGTTATTTGAAAAAGTGACTGTTTGATATTTTCAAGGTAAGATATAAAAGCATTAGTTAAAATATTCTAGTGCCTACTTTAGTTTGTTGACGATGTTCCCAAGTTTGCTTTGCTATTAAGATATTGTCACTGTACATAAATTAAAACATTACACATATTTTGTAACATATATTATCTAAAGTAGCCTTAATCGAAACATGGCAACACATTTGACGTGAGATTTTGACATATGTTTAAAAAAAGAACATGAAATAGCTTAGATAAGTATTTTAATAATGTCGAAAACAAATTTAAAAATAATTAAAAGTACAATTTTATTTTTATTCATTTAATATCACGTGACGTTACATCTATACTAATATACAAAGCTGAAGAGTTTGTTTGTTTAAACGCGCTTATCTCAGGAACTAATTAATAGGTTCTCATAAAAAAAATCTTAGAGCTTTTATCGGGGAAGGTATAGTCTATAAAACATCACGCCGCGACTAATACGAGTGAAGACACAGCGCTTAATGTGGAGAAAACGGGACAATTATTCACCTTTGTGGGTATCCATTGCGTACGCTGCGAAAACGGTTCAAGACCCAAAAAATATGATAAAGAATGATTCCTCTTGAGATGATCTAAATAAATCTTTTAAGCTTAACTTGCAAGACTGACAAGAACTAAACGACGGGTCGCAAGCGACGGGACGCGACCGATGTCGTGGGTAAAAGCTTAAATTTATCAAGATGAAGAGGAGGTTTGCAAAAACCAAATTTTCGATGCCCAAAATAATTATTCTACGCGGACAAAGTCGCTGACTCCGCTAGTATAATATAGTTAAAAATTTAAAGGACTTTTGAGGCCATTTTGTTGCATTTTATTTTTTAGATTATTAAGCCGGCAACGAAAAATATCTCTAGACGTATATTTTATATATAGCGGTTGTCATTTAGTTACTGGACTATTGAATACATCGAAGAATATAGTAAACGACGAAAATCATAAATACCTATTAATAGATTGAGTCACTTTTTATCTTCGCATTTTTTGGGCGCGTGCGACCTTTGATAAGGTAAGTGCAAATATTTTTGATCGAGTGAATAACAACGATAATCTGATGCTTTCAACAGATTATTTTAAGCAGAGGTTACATCACTATAATACAGTGTGTTCGTTAAATCTATTCATATCCCACTACTGAGCACGGGGGATAGCCCACTACACACTCCCCAATACGAGTTCGCGGTTCCAAACTCTGATAAAAGATTTTTTTTTAATAAATAGCATATACCAAACTAAAATTTTAATCGAGCGATTCGAATCTGGGATCTCGGGATCTGCGTTCGATTGATTGTATTGATAAAATGTATTAATTTAAAAAATTCATGGTACATATATTATACCTATCCTAGTACATAGATCTTATCTAAAAGATGGTTAACAAAAATATAAAAAATGTGATTGCTTTGATACATATATCATCTACTTGTGATAAAACTAAAATATATATTTAATAGCTTATTTTATAGTAAAAATAATTATATTAATTGTTAGTAACTGTATTCAAAATATCTAATCAGTTTTATTTGAAAATTCAGTTGCTTGTGAACGAGACGTAAAATTTTAAATTTAGATGTAAACCGTATCAGGGTACTGTTAGTATGAACTCACAAATGAAAAACTGTTTATTCCTAATTGCTTTAATAAAAGAAGAATCTATTAAAGCAATCTTTTTGCGTATTTTATTTATAAAAACAAAATCTGTTTAGGCAAAGGATACAAGAGCCAAGTTCTTTTAAGAGCCAAAGCCTGGAACGTTTTAAAATACAATATGGCATTTAAATAAAACACTTTAACGGTTTAAAACACGCTATATATTAGTTCAACTTATTTGGTAATTATTGTAACTGCGACCCGACGTTTAAGATGCCTTGCAGCAGCAGCCGTGGTCACGGGAAGACTCAAATAATTTTGAAATAAGTTTAACTAATATATATCGCGTTTTAAACCGTTAAAGTTATTTATTTACTACTCGCGTAAACTCTGTAGTTTAATTACCAAAGAAAATTACCATGATGTACTTTTAATGCTGTCTGTACAGTATTAAAAGTATATCATGGTAATTTTCCTTGTTTTCATATTGGTTTCACGTTGAACTATTCCAGCTGTTACCTGAACTGTCTTTTGTTTCACGAAACACACCTGTGTAATTATTGTTTGGAATTTAAAACAGTTAAATGTTTTCATAACTACTAAATGTGACCAATTTTCTTTGTATGTCATTAATACGGTTATCCTTTGTCGAAACATCTAAACAGATGTGTATTTATTTATATTTTCAATGGTATAAAGCATATATACTAATACTATAAAGCTTACAAATTCGTTTGTTTGAACGCGCTAATCTCGGGAACTACGGGTTCGAAGTGAAAAATTATTTTTGTGTCGATAGACCATTTACCGAGGAAGGCTATGTTCATCACGATTTGACCAATAGGAGCGAAGAAGAAGTGAAAAATGCGGAAAATCATGGGCTTTCAGGGATCCCGTTTTGCGCGTAGTCACTTATAAAGCTGAGGAAGCTGTTTGCAAAAAATAAACTATTACTATTCTACGCGGACAAAGTCACAGGTTCAGTTAGTACCTATATAAACCTTATAGGCAATTAGAGTAGTAGAAAAATTTCTCTGGCAATTTTATCAATGTCACGACGGCAGTATGTTAATCTATACTAATATTATAAAGCTGCAGCGTTTGTGTGTTTGTTTGAACGCGCAATTTCAGGACTACTGGCTCGAATTGCTTTATAAAATAAATATAGATAAAGCAGAGGAGGTTGTTTGCATAATCAAATTTTAGTACCCAAAGTTACTATTCCCACAGTCCCAGGTACTCTATGAACTTTTTACAGTGGTTCTCTTGATCCCACCTTATAGGCAAATAGTTGATCCTCCTGTGGGGTGCCCTTGTCGGAAAAAAATATTATGTTTCCCGGGATTCGAACTCAGGACCTCTCGCAATTATATCAATATCACTACAGCGGTATGCTATTCTACGACGATTAACAAGTAAATCACATTCCACATCGTTCATTGAAGCCTACGTACGACACCGTCATGCAGCAAAGGCATTTCAAGGTCTACGCGTGTAAACAATCTTATCAGAAACCTCTATGCGAAATTATTATATAAATATATTGTCAGGTACAGTTATATCATATGAGGCCACAAGTGGCAGAGTAGTCTAACTGCACTTTTTATGACTTGATTTATTTTATATTTTCATAGTCAAAATGTTAATCTACAAGGGTACAGTGACGAAATTGTTAACATACTTTTTACATAAATAATAGTTAAATTCATTTTCGTCTAAGTTAAATGTGCGTTTTTATTTTGCTTCTTATTGATGTTGTTTGTTATTAGGCTACTCTGCCTCTAGCAGCCTCATATATCTATAGTGCTACGCTGTATAACGTGTTTACGGAAAACTTTAATAACCGTCATACGAGCATTAAACAGCAGTTGGGGGTAATTATAAATATAAAAATAAAAACAAAAAATAATAAATATCAAACACGCCTTTGGTTTAAATGGCGAAATATATTAGTATAAGAACTTTTATTTTCATTATATCTAAGTCCTGATGTTGGAGTGAGCATGGGCGCTTCAAGACAATGAAAATTTTAACTAAAGCGTTTTAAATAGGAAAACAGTTTTTTTTTTTTAAAAACGGGAATGTGACGTTTTGTATGCTTTGCAGTAGCCATCGTCCGTCGTGATCAAAGTCGGGTCATTGTTATTGAAATAAGGAATATTTTTCTAAAATGTATATTGAAATTTCTAAAAAGATGTTTCTGTCTCGTCAAACGCACAAGCTGACGATACTAACCTAAACTGTGAGTGAAACAAACTTGTGAAAAAAATATACGTACGCAAATTTTCAGACATACAAATTAAAGTTATTTTGCACAGATAAAACTAGATTAAAGACAATTGGCAAGGGTATTTATATACTCTATAAAATGGGTTAAGCGTAAATACTATAACAGCTGACAGATGGTAATTACGACTGTCAAATTCTAATTTCTATCCATTTCGCGATCCGTTAATCCGGCGCCGGTGACTAGACACATTAACACGACTTCAATTCGTTTGTAAACAAAAAAAAGTGAAAAAAAAAGAAAAAAAGAAGGGGGGTGGGGGTGGGGGGAAGGGGGGGGGAAAAAAAGAGGGGGAAAAAAAAAAAAAAGGGTTGTTTTTAAAAGGGGGGGAAAAAAAAAGGGGGGGGGGGGGAGGGGGGGGGGGGGGGGGGGGGAGGGGGGGGGGGGGGAGGGGGGGGGGGAATAATTATATTTTATTGTTGGGGGGGGGGGGGGTTTGAAAAAAAAAAAGGAAAAAAAAGAAAGGGGGGTTTTCAAAAGGGACGCAGACACGCTCTTATGTCTGTTTTATAGGTAAATGTTAATACCGACTTTCTTATTTTGCTAGACTATATACTAATTAGTATAATATACATAATGAATAAAGAATCATGGATCGCAACGATTCGAAATTGGCCCAAGGTTTAAGAAAGCTATTTTTAAATTCATTTTAGAACCATAACAAAACAATAATTTCTAATAGAAGATAAAAAGTAATACAGATTATAAAACATTCCAGGGTAATTCGGAATGGAGCCAAGGTAATTTGATTGATTGTGGCACTTCAAATAAAAAATGGCCAAGCGTGAAATCACTCCTGCATACCGTGAATGATGCGTGCTATTTATAATTCTGCGCTACTATTTAATTGTTATAAAATAATATTCTGTAACTTTTAAACTTATTAATTTTTTATGCAACATACTCATCCTTAACACTATATTACATTACAATTAATTTTATATGAGAAATAATTATAATTATATTATTTTAAATTTTGTTGACAAAATTCAAATAAAAACACTTAACGGTTTAAAACGCGATATATATCACTCAAACTTATTTGAAAATTATTTTACCTTCGGCCCGTCGTTCTGGACGTTTTGAAGTGTTTTATTTAAATGTGTTCAACTTGCGTAAACTGCAGACAGTATTTGAAATTAAAAATGTAATAATTTTGAAGTAATAAATCGATACAAACACGGTTGAAAAGCTTTTTAGCCCCTAAATCTCATTTTTTTATATTTAGTTTATAGTTCCTTATTAAAATCATTAAGAACGTGTTTCTAATGCAAGCACAAAAAAAACTTTCTTTAATCTTATTTCTCATGTAAAACCAATTCAAGAACTTTGCCAAGGTATCTTATTTTGTTCTTATGCTAATCTGTGCTAATTAACTTGACGCGTATCATTACGTCACTAAAATAAACAAGTAAAGATTATTGAAGATTATTTTGACGCTGTATATTCATTAAATTATTATTATAGTGAAAAAAAATGACGTCGTATTAAGGAATTATAATTTTTATATGTAAGCTTTTTGTTGGAGTATATTTCTCACACTAGGGAACTAAACTAGAGAAAAACATGTTTTAAACGTAACAATAAATAGAAGGAGATATTGTCATTTTAAGTTCATTGTAATAGACGTAACTTCACTTTAAACATTTATTTACATTTGGTAATTATTTTTTAAAGTACAAAATAAATGTGACTCTACTGGAGAGTGAAATTTGTCAAGTACTTGTAACATCACTCCGTAATATAGGTACCTACTTTAATTAAAAAGATTTGCATATTTATATAAAGTACACTCAAAAATTAAAATAACTTGTAAAATATGAAAATACTCACGTTTTCGCCATGACAACCTATCACTAACAAAGCACGAAAAATGTTCGAAAATATATTTTACAATGATTTTATAATAATTACGAAGAGTAACTCAAATACGTATTATTTATAAAATATCAAAAAAATTATCTATTCATTTTGTATGACACTGGTCGAAAAGAATTCTATGTCTACGAAAATAAAATCGAACTGTCACTTTGCGCGGCAAAATCGGTTGACGTTTAAACGACAATGGTGCGCGCCAGTCGAAATGAAACTGCGCTTGGCGGCAACTCACACCTGATTTAATAATGCCGTAAATATACATAAATGTTTAATATCAAACTTTGTATTATTGAAGCGCTATGTAACGTCTTAATTTTTGTTGCATGATTCAGTGTGCTTACGCAGCTTCCCGTCATGTTTATTCAGAACGCGTTTGATTCAATGGAAGTTCGATTGTCAATGTCTCGTCACCTTTCTGAGTTAATGAGCCGTGAAATAACGTAATTTGGTAATCTTTAGGGATAATAATACGCTGGAGTACACATAAATTGACAATTTATTTTGTACAATGAAGAATACCTTTCGGGAAATGATTACTGATTAGTACATATGAGGCTGGTAGAGGCAGAGTGAAATAAAAAAAAACAGAGGAAAATAAAAATGCGCAATGAACTTAGGCGAAAATTTGTACTATTATTTGTGTAAAGCTTTTGTTACTAATTTTCAGTTACTGGGCTCTAGTAGATTACCATTTTTAGACTATAAAAATATACATAAATCAAGTCATAAATTGCTGTTAGGCTCCTCTACCTCTAGCGGCCTAATATTATGTAATTTCAAACATGGTATTTTTTAATTGTCCTTACTAAACTAATTTAAATTCTTAATATATTTTATAGAAATTGAATATCTTTTGTACTAGGTTTATGTCGCAAATTCAAACAGAAATTCTGCTGACCAACTTTAAGTAGAAAAAAGTTACTAACTAGAACTTTACATTAGTTTTCGTCGTAAGAACAACAAGTGACTATAAATATTTCGTCCTTCAGTTTGCCGTTGCTTAATTTAGATATCTTAAATTTAATTTGTTTCAAAGCTATAAAAATCTCTAGACTATGTCCTTCAAAATAAACCCACTAAAATTCGATTTCTGAAAATTATAATAAATCTTTACAAGACTAAGTCTATAAGACTTTTATTTCACTATTGAAGATACATACTGAATATTGCAAACTATTTTACTACTATTTAAACGTATTTTACAAAATATTTTTTACATGTTACATGATGGCACTATATAGATTAAAAATCGAAAATAAATTGAAAATTTAACGCCTCGGGCAGGAATTGAACCGGCATGCTCTAACCGATTGAGCTACCGTGTCCCACACCATCGTCGAATTTTTTCAACTTACTGAGTTTTAGTAAACTCGTCATGGAATACATTACATAAATAAAATTACTGCGTTTCGTAATTGTATTGCACATGTCGTTATTTATGAAAAGGTTTTGTGGAACAAAAATTAGGTCAACTCAACATTCGTCTGATGACGGAGGTTTATCAAATTGGGGTTGTGACTTAAGACAATTCATGCAAATTCTCTTTATTGATCACAATTGGTGTTTTTTGCCGTTATTATGCACCGCTGATGATGAAGACTCACACACTCATGAAGAACTATCTTGAAGGGTTTTATAATTCATTGTAACGCCACTAATATTCTGTTTTTCAGTATGCAATTTACGCACTTATAGCGCTATATATAGGTACAAAAAAATAAATTTCTCCTACCTACCAAACTATCTGCTGCTATGTTTTTTTACCAGATATTAGTCTAGATTTAACTTTGAATAAAGTGTTCAAGTATATATTAAAGATTCATAGTTTATTTTAATTTTATAGGAAATATGACTTGAACTCATTTTTTCCTAACCACATACATACAAGTAGCTTTTGCTCCGCCCGCTTTTATTTGTTTGTTTGAACGCGCTAATGTCGGGAACTACTGGTTCGAATCAAAAACTTTTTTTGTGTTAGTTAGACCTATATCGAGGAAGGCTATAAGCTAAAACATCGCATTGTGACTGATAGGAGCGAAGAAACAGATTACACAGATTAGATTTATAAAGATGAAGCAAAAACAAAATTTGGATTGGTCGCTGACACAGCTAGTCCTATTATATCCTGCTTCTTGTTAAATTTTATTTAACTCGACCTGTACGGAATTTACTTTTTGAGCCAAAATTAGAAAATGAAATTTAATCACCTTCCCGTTGTCAGATTGATCTGAAATTTGGTACGCATATTTAATTTAGATGACAATACAATATAATAAAACGCGATGATCGTCAAAAAATACACAAGAAAAAAGGGAGGATCGTCAAAAAAACTTATTTTTGTAGTTTCAGTGCACAAAAATCAAAACTGTTTAACTTAAAAGTTTTTTTTAATTGCTACTTGTTTTGTATTTGAGGTTTATTCAGTAAATTTGTGACATTAGTAAAGAAGCGATGCTCTATAACAAAATTACAATTTTTTGGCTTATGTACATATTCATATTTTTAACTTTTCTAAAAATATGTCATTAATCATTACCTCTATAAACATACCAACGCACCTTGAAGTGACACAAACGTATCTAATATTTATTTCAAACGCAAATTAGTAACGAACTAATTATAGACTTCTTGACAAAACGAACGAGACTTCTGCCTCATTCATAATGTTGATTATTGTTTGTAAATACAGTAAATCGTTCTGTCGAATTTTTGGTCATTAATAGAGTGATGACACACGTAAAGTACCTAATGGGTTGTTGGATCGCAACATGTTTAAAACCAAATTGAATTGGATATTAACTGAGTGGCGAGAATATTAAAATTTTCTTCTGGACTGGAATCATCGATGGAAATTCGATGAAAATGCCGTGGATATCGGACACAGTTTTGTGGCCATAAGATTTTATTAAATTATTCTATATCTGTCTTAATACAACCTATTATATTTGCCGGAGATTCAAACCCGACAGAGGACGACAAATTAGCTTTGAGTTCACTTGATGAATAGTTACCTAATACCCAGTCATAAAGAATTTAACAAGAAACCCAACCTGTAGACCTATTTTGGCCTTGGATATTCGCAAATCCACAGACTGTAACCGCAGGACGGCTTATTAATCTGTGGACGATAGTCTGAGACCCGGACGGAATTTCGATACCATATTCGACCTATTTAATATCCAGATTTTCAAACGAAGTCCAACATGTATCAGAAAAATAATAAATCGATTAAAAAATGGTGGACCCGGTAGGGTTCGAACCCACGACCCGTTAATTATTGGCCATACATTTCTATCGTTACACCAACAAGCCCGACATCTAATTGTCAAAATCCATATAAATAAAAATAGTTGCATCAGAGCTAATACATATAAAACTTAAATTTGCAACCCATTCATCGCATTGTTTGCGTCACGTTATGGCCTCATTTCCAAACACTTATTTTTATAAAGGACCTCGCTCAGGTATTTAGGACAGGAGTTTTGGGTTTTATTATTTATTTTTATAACCGGTACGTCGATTTTATTGTAATTGCGGTCACAACAGCTGGAGTGGACCATTTTAAGTGTTTATCGACTGTTTTAGTGGACAATAACTAGTCTTAGAATCGTGTACATAAAAATAATATCGTTGGTGAGAAGAATTGTGATATTTTTGGTATGGGGCTGGCTCTAATATACTGTTTGACTTCGGTTTTATTTACAAGAAAATTGTTAATTCCTGGCCGGACCGTAACTATGTAAAATATTTTCCGATGATTAAAATTCTAGGGAACCTTATGTTCATTTCATTGACCGCCTCTGTAGCCAAATGGTTAAACGTATTGCGTGGAAAAAAAAAAAAAAACCAAAGGGGAAAGGGAAAAAGGAAAAAAAAAACCCCCCCCCCCCCCCCCCCCCCCCCCACCATTCTATAATATTTTTAAAAAAAAAAAAAAGGGGGGGGGGGGGGGGGGGGGGGGGAAAGGGGGGGGGGGGGGGGGAAAACCGCCCTCCCCGGGGGGGGGGGGGGGGGGGGAAAAACCCAAAAGGGAAAATTTGGGGGGGGGGTTGGGGGGGGGGGTTTTTTCCCCCCCCCCCGGGGGGGCTTTGCCCGGCCGGGCCCCCCCTGGCAAAAAAAAAATAGGTAAAAATTTTTTTATTTTCAAAAAAAAAAAAACCCCAAACCCCAAAAACGATTTTTTATAGAAAAAAATGCAACACGGGCAGGACTTAAATCGGAATCCACAGCGTTCTGTTCTGTGACTCTTACCAATTTATAATCGATTTTTAATTTATATAGTACCATCATGTGCAATAATAATAACGTGTGAAAAATATCAAAGTTTGCAAAACAAAACCTTATTAAAAATAACGGTAATTTACTGGCTCAACTGAGCAAATACTCGTTGTGTAAAGCTAGAATGATCATAAAATGTAATTGTGTTCTATGGTCACGTCATTTTCGAGAATGGAATGCATTATATGACGTTTAAATACGAGAGCGGTTGGCAACAGAGAAACAATCGTAAACAGACTTCAGGTAAACGACAGCTTGAAAGCACTAAATCACTTTTAGATCAGCGCTCACAAACGTTAAGATTTACAGTTGCTTTTGTAAATACGTGTACCTGCTCGATTTAGTACTAAGATCTACTGTGAAAGCATGAATGGGATTTGATAGGAATATGTACGGATCGGAGACTGAAATATTCTTAAAGTATTGTACGCGAGTAGTATAATATATTTAAATAAAACCGGTTCAACGGTTTAAAACGCAAAATTTATAATATTTTAGATAAATTTAACTCCGGCCCGACCTTGTGGATGCTTTCGAAAAAGTTAATTAATTAATATATTTCGCGTCAACAACTGCAAAACTTGACTTGCATATATTATAACTAGTTGGGCTTGCAAATCCCTTCGCGTAGAAAATTTATTTTGGGCGTCAACATTGTTTTTGCATACCTTCTCATCTTTATAAGTTA